AGTCAAGAAGTCAGAGACAGATGCAAAAGGCAAGGCTGACAAACTGGGGGGATGAATGAGAGGCTCCCCGACAATATTCCGATGAAGGGACTGATCTCCAGACGTTTGGATGCTTCTCAGCCAGGCGCTAGTCTCGATGGGGTGGTTTACACGTGACTTTGTATCACCGCCCTTACGATGTTGAAATGCAGGCTGCACGTGATTTCTACTGACCGCCAAATATAATTTAGAGATCATGATGAAGGAATACATGGCTATAGAACCACGTATGTCGTCAAAACTGTTGTTGTCAAACTGTATGGATTGTATTGGGCCGTGAGGATTGGAGACGTGTCGCAAGAACTGAGTTTTATCTACCCATACAAGAATGTATATAGCGACAAACGCATTCTACGCGCGTTCCTCGACAACCCCTAGGCACAACCCCATTTTCTCACTTCACATTGAATTTATAGAATCCTGTTTGAATATTTCTGTTGAATATTTCTGTTCGGAATTGAATTCACCTTGGTGCCTATCCTACAATCTTCCAACTCTCATTTCAGTGGTAATTTCTGGAAGCACCATGCTCAGTCGACAAGTGACGGGATTGAGGTCTATGAGAGCTATACATTCAATCCAAACGACATAATATCTCTTAGTGGGATCTCTATGAATGTTGACTCCTAGGTGTGGACCTTGCGGATGTGGTTTGTTGACAAAAATGATATTATGGTATATTACAATTCCGTCGTCGTTCAAACAAACTGCAAAATAGTGCTCAGCATGTCCTTCAAGTCCTTATGGCCCGTTTCATCCTCGCCGAGACCTTCGATTTGTTCTACTCGGGTTAGCTCCGACTAGTATGGCGATGTGGGTTACTCACCTTGCAATGTGCCGCGGATTAGGGACAAATCTTCGTCACGGTCCGCAAGAAGTGAGACGATCTTCTTCTTCGCTCCATCATCTTCGGCAATGAGCCATGCCAAAATAACATCAATTGTCTGGAACAGTTAGCGAATAGCCTTGCCAGCAAAGAAGAGAAATCGTACCTGCAATGAGAACAGACCTGCGTCCAGCCGTCTCGACAACCATTCGCCAGCCATAAGTTCTCGTTCCTCTTTGTCAAACGTTCTGCGCTCTTTTTCGATGGCTTGTTCGACGGGTGACACGCGTGCGGCATACTCGCGCCGGAGATTGACGAGCTTCTCGATCCTCGCGTAGTCCTTCTCCATAAACTTGACCAACGTCCGGATGCGAGTAGCCGAACCACCGGGCAGAAGACGGAGAAGAGAGGCAAAGATTCCCAAGAAATGTTCAATGGTTTGACCCTCTTGCTGGATGGATATTAGCACAACGCAATTTGACTGTGAGAGACTGAGCGTACCTTTTTCAGGAACATTCCGAAAACTGTCTTCAGGCCAGCTGCCTCGACCAACCTCTCGCAGGCCGGTGCACCCCCAACTCCGCCCAAGGCGTGGTCAAGAACTCTCAACGCACGTGGCTTACTGAACTTGCCTTCCTTAAGCATGATCAGCGCAAGCTCAACTCCTTCAGCCTCCAAGAATTTGTCTTTCCCCGCATCTTCCTCAACAAGACAGATCAAAGCGTCAAAGAGATTCTCCACGTATTCTTCCTCGTCGGAGTCCTTAGCTGGGTCCCGTTTGCGGTACGCACTAAGCAGCTGGAGAAGGATATCGATGCCGTCGAGTTCAATAAACTTCGTGCGATTCTTTGGGGTAGACTGTAAAAGGATTGCCAGTATTTCTGCAGCATATTGTTTGTTTTGGCTGACCGCCGCTTCTTTTCGCTGAATACGGGACAAGATCCAGGGCAAGATTGCAGCGTCCTGTCCGATTTTCTCCGCATGTGATGTCTGGGAGGCCAGGTTTTCCATTACACCTGTATTTAGTTAGCAAATCCTCCCATTTTGAATTAAAATGGGATACTCGCCTAGCACATAGTATACTCCCGCTCGATCTGTCTCAGACCCTTCATCAAGTCGGGAGAGATTTTGAGCGAGCAATTCGATGAGATCGGCCTCCATCTATTCGTAGTTAGCGTTGTTACTGATAGTACCTTGCCACAACATACCATTGCGTTAACAAGAGCATCCCATTGTTCTTGCTCTGCCTCCACATCCTCGTCTGTCAATTCATTGATTATCTGGACGACATCAATTGCAATGTCGGCATTTTCATGCGACAAGAGAGATGTTAAAGATGCGACGCATCCCATCTTGGCAAATTCCTCGTATAGATCAGAATGCTCAGACAGGATGGACAAGCCTTTGATTTCAGTATCCAGGTCGGCCTCGGAGGCCATGAACCTGCAGCATAATTAGCACCTAGTACATACAGCTCTTCCGGCATCCACTTACTTTTGCGGATCACTCTCGAATTTTGCTCGTAGTTCAGCATTCTTGGAGATCTTCTTCTCGAAATTCAATGCGAAGCGGCGCACCCACGCAGAGTCGAACTTCTCGGGCTAAATGAGCACTGTCAGCACCTAGACAACCTTATATACTGTGTACCACAACTGCCATACCGGAGCTTCGTCTTCCTCTTGTTGGTCAATGTATTCCATTGCTTGAGCTGTCTTCTGCTCCATTCCACCGCCAAAGAAGCGGCCCTCCTCGTCGTCTGGGACATCCTCCTCGAAGTCTGGAGGAAGCTCGGGTCCCGCTTCACCGTCGTCAATCTCGTCCTCCACGGCGGGGGCTTTCCCCTTTGATCTCACATCCCCACTTGCATCTAATTTTGCTGATTTGTAGACCTCATCTGTTGGGTATCGTCAGGATTTGCGACCAGCGCGTTTGCGGGGAAAGGGCGTACTTGGATCTTGGACAGGCTCGAACTTGCGCTTAGCGTTCCCTGTGACAGATGGTTTCTTTGCGCGTCAGATATGCCTTCGTTAAGTAGACAAACTTGGAACTCACTTTAAAGAGCTCATCGACGTTCGTCATGGTTGCTACGGCTAAAACGCCTGGTAGGTGGATAGTGTGAAAGCAACCAATCTCTAACGCGCTGGTATATCAAATGAGATTGGTTGGGAGAGAGAAACGGAGAGAAACCTTCAAAACAGCAGGGAGCAAAATATAAATATAAAGGAAAGGCAAGACGACGCTGTCGCATCGTCCTTCGCTGCGCGGGCAAAAGTAATACGGTGGCCAATAAGAGCTAAAGACGCAGTGACGCCAAGCGTTCCGAGACCGCAGATTTCTCGACGTTCGATCATCACTCCAACATCAACATCAACATAAACCCTTTACCTTCGCCTCTCACATCACATACAAAATGGCACCCAACCAGCGCATCGTTCCCTCCGGCTCTCGCCCCCAGAAGGGCTTCGCCAGCACCCTCTACGACGAGGCTACCAACCCCGAGAACAAGACCATTGTCCGCAGCATCGTCATCTTCGGTGTACGTCTTGGCTAATCAACAATTTCAACATCCCATTGTAATCCATGAAACTGACGATATCTGTTTTAGGCCGGCATTGCGTTCCTCCACTCCAGCTTCGGAGAGTTCCTCCTTCCTCCGTAAGTCGAGCCAACCCGACACGTTTGCATCGAGATCAACCGAATGAACATCATCTAACTTCGCGCAGTATGTAAAATCATCACGCCTTTTATACCTCCGGTGACGCGACTCGGACTCCCTCTTTTGAAACTGTGGAAGCATATCGGCGTCGGTCAAAGGAAAACATATGATGCGTGGGCATCTTTCGCTTGGTTGTTTTTCAATTGGATAATGTGTACAATATTTTATGGGCAGGGCATGTACTATCCGACATGCTGTGTCCTGTTTTGAGTTTCATGAATATCAATTTTGCCATTTGCCGGATGTCCGGCCGTGGTACAATCCAACCCTTGGTCTATCCTAATTACGACCTACCTAGGTAGTCCCTAAAGATTTGTAAGAGTCGGTATCTGGGCTACCGTGCTTGCTTATAATAGAGCCACTTCTCCTACATTCCTCGATAAATCTATTCTGAGGTGGATATGGATATATTGGTCTACTTGTACTTTTATTGAAAAGACATCCAGATATTGTACCATTGTAGTAGTTGTATAACATTCTTATTACACTTCAAGCAGTTTGAATTATCTCCCAGTGTCACATTATCCCACCTTTCCTCCTATATCTGTACATCATACATCTACATCTACATACCACAACATCACCCCAATGTGCTTCTTATGATCTACTTGCTCATCAACTTGCTCATCTATTTCTTCATCTACTTTCTCATTCTCATCTACCTCCCTCTAATCAAAAATTTCGGTTGTGTAGTGTAATGGCTCATCACTCTGGTTTCTGATACCAGCAATCCCGGTTCGATCCCGGGCACGACCTTCTTTTTTGCCCTGAAGGATTAATGGTAGATAGCCGTGCCAAGCGCCCAACTAGATACCAGATTCTCACAGGATGCAAGATCTGTAAATTATGTATCTTTTGTATGACTTACCTATACAAAAGGTACTTAGACACCCTGTAGACATAACGTGCGTTTTCTCAGCACTCGAACTAGTTAACTAGCTAAAGTAATAGAAAGGTTACGAATATAACTAACTAACTAGTATAAGTCTAGCTTAATTAGTTTAATAGTAGGACTTATAACCTAATAGGAAGCTAGGAGAAGAGAGAGAGCAATTACATTAGTAACTGCTAACTCCTCCTAAGGGAGAAGGGAAAAGAAGAAGAGGGAGAGGAGACTACAGTCCTATCATGTAGGGTCAGGTGACACACCACAACAGTGAATTGAACCTGAATTGAATTTGAAGAAAATTGGCAGATCTCTTGGCCGGTAGTTTAGGGGTGAATCTTTATAGGGTACCTAGGTACACCATTATAAAGTGTATACGTTCCAAGGTTGTGTAGAAATTAAAAGAGAAGTTAAAATTAGTAAATGCTTCAAGAAGGCGGTAATAAACTAGGCGGTGAGATAGTAATCAACGAGAGAGTTATGTGTCGGCATACTTAGTCGCCAGCGAGTGACTTACTCATTTCTTTGTGGCCATGTCTCTTAGAAGAGTTATTCAGTCCGTTCCCTGCAAACCCTCCCATCTCCCAGCAAAATTACTCCCTACGGCAGATCTGGTCGAGGAAGAGCACACGGCCCATTATAAGCCTCAGCACTTTTATCCTGTACGTCTTTATGAGATACTCAACAACCGATACCAAGTGGCCGCCAAAATAGGCTGGGGAACAAGTTCGACAGTATGGCTAGCACGCGACCTCCACCAGTATGTGAAGACTACCTGAGAATATATTCAAGCCTTGTCTCACTATGTCATAGGTGGCGATGGCATCGGCCCCGATATGTGGCCATTAAAGTTAACGCAAACAATTATGAGTCTCAAGAATCCGCGGAGAAGGAACTCCGCATTACTGAGCATATAACTAAAGCAAACACCCAGCATCCAGGCCGCAACTTTGTCGCCACCTTGTTAGACTCGTTCCGTGTTGCTAGCCCGGGCGGCACTCATATTTGCATGGTCTTCGATGCACTTTGTGAACCACTCTGGATGCTGAAGCGTCGTTTTGAAGGAAACATCATCCCTCTCGACGTCTTGAAACCGGTGTCTAAACTCATACTAGAAGGACTACAGTATATCCACACCGAATGCCACGTTATTCACACAGGTACCTAGTCATTCAACCGACCCCTAGAATCGGTCACAGTTAACGGACAAACAAGATCTCAAGTCCGATAACATCTTACTGGCCCTACGCAACCTGTCTATCCTGGAATCGGTCGCACAAGATGAGATGAACAATCCCTCTCCACGGAAACCTGGACGGTCGGGACATATACCTATCTCGGAATTACTGGGGACTATCGCCCGACGAATTGGGTAGATCGGTAATAACTGACTTTGGGCTTGCCGTGCGCGGTGACGGGCCCCCGAACAGCCACTGCATCCAGCCAGAGGGATATCGGGCCCCGGAAGTTTGTCTCGGGGGCGACTGGAGCTACAGTGTTGACGTTTGGAACTTGGGAGTTATGGTAAAAGACCTCGTTCTCATAATCGTATCACCACTAATAGTCTATCAGCTTTGGGACCTGTCCTATGGCCGCGGTCCCTTTGACATACCACCGGACTCGTGCGGCTCAGGCTCAGCAGACGAAGCCCATCTGGGCAAGATAATTTCCCTCCTGGGGCCCCCTCCACCTGATCTTCTCGGCCGCGGAAAAGAAACATCTCGGTATTTTAACGCTAAAGGTATGCTAGTTGTGTTCCTATTTAGACGCAGCTAACTGATTTTATAGGACAATTCAAATTCCCCGAACTCGTCGGAAAAAAGGACCTGGTTTCTATGGCTAAAGAAATTGATGATGACGACGGAATGCCCCAGTTTGTAGACTTCATTTCTAGAATGCTGCGCTGGAGGCCCGAGGACCGGACCACGGCGCAGGACCTGCTTTCCCATCCGTGGCTTCCGCAAATGAAACCTGCGAATGGATGTGAATGGGCTTATCTGTACAGTAAGTTGCCGTACTTGTAATGTTATACTTTCCACAAATATCTATCACGAGGCGCAGGAGAGATCAAGGACAGAGCACCAATCGGCCACTGGTCAGCAAACAGAGTCTTGGACAGTACTCCATACTAAGTTCATGTTTGCGTTTTATGGTACTTTACGTACAGGAGATGATATGTAAAATAACTATATAAATTATCATGCACCTTTTTTTATATTCAACCTTGGAAATGGTTATAAATCCGGCCAATTAGATTTTACCAATTTCATCTCTCAATGGCACAAGATGCCCAGGCGAAGAGAGTGACAAACCAGATTTGGAAAAGGCGGCGATCTCCCCAGGCGCCAAGACCCCGCAGAACGCCCCACATTCCCCGGTTCCGAACACCGCCTTCTAAAGTTCTCGCAGAACGGTTTCTGTGTTGACGTCTCTGTGTAACGAAATTGCATACTTATACTCCCAATCAGGAGTCAAATGATACATATATGAGAGCTGATGTCTTCCACTCCCGGACTTAAGCGCAAGTTGGCAGAGTCTCGCCAGGAAACAACTAAGCGCCACCATCTTCATGGATACGACCCGCAGGCCCCATGGCTGCACGGGTCAGGACCTACCGGGATATGGCGGACACGTGGAAATCCCGATGTACAGCACTCGATGCCCCTATCAAATATGGTGTCTGCCGTTCAAGACCTGATAGACCCGGACTTTGATCCACTGACGGCGATGCTGGATGACGAGCCCCAGTTTTTAAAACCCCTACCAGCTCGCATCGCTCCGGAGGACTTGGAATTCTTGCGATTTCGTGGCGCTCTCTCACTTCCAGCGAGTGGTTTGCGGGATGAGCTTCTTCGCTGCTACATCCAATGGGTGCACAGTTTCATGCCAGTTTTGAATCTGCAAGAGTTCTTACGATGTGTGGCTGAAAATGACCCGGAAGGAAATGTTAGCATCTTACTCTTCCAGGCGGTCATGTTTGTTGGTACGGCTTTCGTCGACCTCAAGCATCTGCAAGATGCCGGGTATTCAACCCGGAAAAGTGCGCGTGATGCGTTCTTTACTCGATTAAGGGTTTGTTTTTCTTCAAGCGGCTACGAGATTATTTAACTCACTTATAATCGATAGTTACTCTATTCCCTCGACTGCGAAGAGGATCGCATTGAGATTCTCCAAACACTGCTATTGATGACCTACTGGTCTGATTCGGAGAACAGTCCACAGCGAGATATTTGGGATTGGATCGGAGTCTGTAACACGCAAGCACAGTCGATCGGTTTAAATAAAGACCCTGCATCGGGTGAAATTGATATAAGGGCTCGAAGGCTCCGTTCCCGGCTCTGGTGGTGTTTGTACTCTCGAGATCGGCTGATCGCCATGGGTATGCGCCGCCCGCTTCAGGTTAATGATGGAACGAGCAGTGTCCCCATGCTCAAACTGGACGATTTTGATTTTGAACCTTTCTCTCCATGTGTGGTTTCCAAGTTCTATTGCCGCCAACTCCAAGATGTGTCACATCAAAAACGCCTCGCCACCATGTTCATTGAGAAAGTGAAGCTCTGTCAATGTATTGGTAGGGTATTGTTTGCGCAATATACACCATCCCAACGCCAATTTGGAGCTACAGACCGAACTACGGTTACACTTATCCCTCGACAGGCTTCCGAGTCTGAATTTGCTCGATGTGGTCAGAAACTCGACTCGTGGCTTAGTGCGCTCCCTAAAGATGCACAATTCATTCCAAAGTCAGGAAAAAATTTCCATGATGGTGAGGATGTGCTGCTGCTTCATGGGGCGATGCTACGCATGCTCTACCATGCTACTAGCAGCGCCCTTCACCGGCCTTGGGCGAGTGTTTCAAAAGATCAATCCAAATCGCGGGTGGACTGGCGCAATGCCGCCCACACAAAAATGAACGACGCCGCTGCGGGGATCACACATATCATTCAAGGCTTAAATCATCTCAATCTGACAAGGTTCCTACCACAGTCTGGAGTGACCGTGATTCTACCTGCTGCTGTGGCGCATTTAACCAACACCATGTCCGATGACCCCGCTGTCCGTGAAAGCAGTGTGGACAATTTCCATCGTTGTATTCAAGTTCTTCATTGTCTTAAGGATATTTATCCAGCAGCCGGCCAAGAGTTTGCCAACATCGAGGCGGCCATCAAGATGCAGGCAGGTGCCTCCAGTACATTCTTCCAAGTCATGGAATACAACCTCGACGCTCCTGCCACATCTTTGGCGACCAGGAAACCAAGCAATGCCAACTCCATCTCCCAAGCCCAACCACACCCACCTGTTAGTGTAACGGAGAGTCCCAAGCCACAAGCGCGAACCTCATCCACTCAAGAGAACGTGCATCAACGAAATCCCAGTGTGGTAAGCACACATGAAGAATCTGCGCCACCTTTATTCCCCAATGACTTCGACCAATATTACGACCTCGGCATCATAGACAACAATCCTTTTAACTTTCTCTCCATCGACATCGATTCCTTTCCTGATATTCAAACCCCTCCCAATCCAACGAAAGCAAACAACCAAGATAAACCTTATATATCACCACCACCCCAAGACCAAGACACCATCGATTGGGCAAAAGAGCTGTTCCAAGACACCGACTTGAATCAGTACAGTAACACAGAAGCCTACCCCAAGCTCGAAAAAACAACACCTCCCCTTGACCATGATCAAACCCACCACGATCCATTCTCTTTTACTTTCAAGGATACAGATGGCAGTCACTCAGTTCACTCTCGCCATCAATCAATGAATGACACAAGGCCCGAAATCACCGGTGATCTGGATCGGGATTTGGGATTCCAGTCTGAGGATGACATGTTCTAGTGTATATATAACAAATTGACATTTGATTGTCATCGTCTCTCAATCAATGATTTGTTGGTCTGAGATATTTGATGAAAGGGCTGGTTCTTTATGGAAGAAGATGGAAGTAGACAGCAATGGGTCTACCTTTGTATATATGCACCAGACTAAAGAAGATGACCTGCAAGGCATAGATTCAAACAAAGCAAACATGCATTGCATAATTTTGTAATTGTATCCTTTGTGAATCACATGCCTAGGCCTGAGTAACCATTTTTGTACTCCGGGGCTGGGCATATATTATTCCCATGAGCCATCATTCTCCCTCTCTGAACCACCTCCCAGATTTACCCTTCAAGTCACCCATTTTCCATCTAACATGGTATCTCGGCTTCTGATACCCATGATCCATGTATATTGCCCCTTATAGGAGTAATACTGGCTCCTTCCAACCTTGGAAATCTTCTAGGATACATGAAATCTTGGGTGCCCCTCAGATTCCCCTTGACACCTACCTCTACTTGTCAAAACTCAACTCTCTTCATCCAACTCCATCCCTTCCATCGTGGAGAGCCAAGAGCCAAGTAAGTAGCATAGCGCTGGGCAGCTCAAGCAGCGTGAACACTGCAGAATGTGCGCGTGGTGTGGTGAGAGTGGAAGAAAATGTTTATCTGAATTCAACAGCAACAGAGTTTGGACTCATCACGTCTTTGTTCTTTGCTGAGACTGCAAGCCTCCCAATATGACTTTTCTGTTCATGCTATACGTATTACACAACCAATGCTGGCTCCCTGCCTCGATATTTCCTCCGCATCCATCCATACAAGCCGAATGACGCTGTCAAATCCAATCTCATTTCGGTTTGGGTTGATTCACTGTGGTTCCTTTCGCATGTCGCGACCTTATTCGGAAAGGTCGAGCCCTGACCACTGAGTGGGTTATAGTTAGGTAAGTTTCTTGTTCTTGCTTTCCTTTTTTCTCCATTTCTACCTTTATTGTTTTATTCCGGAAGACGTATTAACAGAAATAGGGTATATCCCCGCTTTGAAGCCAGAATCATGCCGTAAGGCATCTAGGATCTGCACAGAAAGTCGCTCTCGCCTGTTGTAGCCCACTGGGAGAAAGTGATTCCCCGTCTATCCTGCTCGAAAAGATGCCCTCGGCAACAAAATGTCCCTACCAGAGTCGTTCTATTGGCGTGAGACTGTCGACGGCTAGGCCTGCTGGTGCTTCTCACTATGCGAATTATGTAACAGGAGGACACCGTGACCCAGCCAGCGATGTTTCCGATGGCTCTAGGTGCATATAGATCCTGGCCATATATAACAGCCCGCTATACTCATCATTCGTCTTTGAATTGGCTATTCTGAGCCTCTTCTGGACAACCATACAATGATGTGAGGATTTTCAAAAGGTGGGACACCGAAACCTCTTTGGAATGCACCCACCTCAACACACTAGCCAACAGTCAGGTCATGTCCCCACTATGCATCAGTGGACAGATCCGATGAGTCGCAACAAACCCACCAGTCATTCGCCATCGCCTTGTTGTCAGAGGATAGGCGGAGCTGTGTCTGTATATAGTACGGGGATTCGAGGGTCTGAGATAAATTAAACCTTATGTCTTTTGGCAGCTCTCTGCTCCTTACTTCGTCGACGACTTTGATCGTTCAGAGCAGGGTTGTCCAAACCAGCTAGGTTGAATTGGGCTCGGGCTCTGTGTTTGATTGTTGACTCCGAATCTATTTCACACGCGATATATTGATATGGCGATATGTCGGAGTTCGGTGCCAGTACACGGCAAGTGTCGCCCCGGTCTTCTCTGGAGGCTGGAACCAAAATTATTATGGTGGCCAAATCTGAGAAATTGTCTGAGCAGCAATCTGCCATTACTTCTGGTTACCTCAAACCAAAGACAAATAACCTACAATGCCTGGACATGAATGAAAAGAAGAAAAGGTGGAAGCAGCCAAATGCAATGCACGCACAATGTACGCCGACGGAGAGACCGCTCAAGCAGATGTCTGTGCCTCCCTCCCTCATGCTACCAACATCATTACTCTGCTCTCTAATGGTGGGCGAGACACTTCTCAACTCTTGTCAATGAGAGGGAATTCCACTATGGCTATAGCTATAACCGGTACGTATATGCAAGTGAAAAATAGGCAATGAAACAACTTCTTACTTGGTCCGCTTTCTTTTTGTCTTGCCCAAACCCATGATGTTGTCAAATGTTAAACTGAAAGAATGTCGACAGGTTCAGGCCCTATTCCATATATACATCGATTTGTTCAGACAGTGGCCTCGATTGTATACAGCCAGGTGGGTATACCATTTGAATAGTCTGTTTATACAAGCCTTTCCTCACGTGTGCTAGTATTCCTGGCTGGCTTGTTGTTGCAAAGGAAATGATTACCACCAGATTCCCGAAACAGTTGATTCCTCGAGCCTTCTCTCGTTGAGGGACCTTGTTCATGGGGTTTCCAAGACACCTTAAAAGACATCCACGCCTGTCTCGCTTTACCTTCGTATACCCCTTGATTACAGGCCACCCTTCCGCTGGTTATTGAAACATACTCGCGAAGATGCCTTACCAAGCCGTGAGCTCACCTGTCGTTTTATAGTAGGTTATCTGTATACTAATTTGTTGGTTCTATAGCCCCCATACGTGTGAGGCTGGTAACCATAGAGACAAAGACTTCACCGAGGGATTTGCTAGAGGGCTGCCGACTATTTCAATTAACGAAGATGTCCGCTACTTCAAGTATGGGATTAAATAAGTTACCAGCCGGCCTACCTGCCTCCACAGACTGTGCTATGTCCAGTGTGGCGAGTCCATTCTTTCAAAGGATCTCGCTCAAAACTGATAAGTTGATGCAAGTGGTTGGTGTCGAGACCTTGGGGGAGAAAGTAGCAGGATGAGGCCTATCAGGCCTAGAATGGATAGATTGGCAAGACCGAAGTGGAGGGGCAGCGTGTGACTTCCTGGATGCATGTCTACAGTCAAGAGACTTTTGACAAGCTGATTTCTTCTATACAACTATAGTTGCCATGAACTATGTTTAAGCTGAAGCTTGTCAGAGAAGGTGTCTCTTCGAGGTCTACTATGATATAGCCACTGGACTCGGAACTGGAAAACATCAGAAGCTATCAGAAGCATTTAACTATTCCAATTCAGAAGATTAATCACATGATAGATATCCCAATCCCTCATATTTAGAATGCTGTGGTTTCCCAAGAACTGTATGCTTAGTCGCTTAGTCGTTTCGGTCCGGTACCGTTTGATCTCAAACCCGACATCGACATCGACGTCGTTTGCATGCACGTATAGTATTTTATACCTGCCTCTTCTCTCTATTTCCCATCATGCTCTTCTTCCCCATCCATTCAGTGCATGCATTGACCCATCATCATCGTTTACTGTGATACGCAATCTACGCACGATGAATATCCCTAACCAGAACGTGAGTATCAACATACACATACCTTAACCACGAACAGAACTAACCTACATCTGAATAGCTTCCTCTGACCAACCACGTACTCCGCCAAGTTCGGCGACGCAGCTACGAAGATCCAAACGAACGCATGCCGCCGGGCGTGGAAGAAGTGATCTCACGTGGCTCCTGCCATATCGGCCGACTAAACGACGAAACCGTGCTGAAGTACGCCTCCGACTTCAACGATCCGAACTATCTGATGAGCATCAAAATCGAGTATCGGATTCTTCAAATCCTCGGTCCTCACCCACGAATCATCGAAACCAAGGGTCTCGCCGAAGACGGACTCATCCTGAAATACTACCCCAACGGCACGCTCCGCGACTACATCAAGAACCACCCATACGAGACGCTCACCCGCCGCCTCGAATGGTGCAAGCAGATTGTCGATACTCTGAGCTTCGTGCACAGCAAGCGCGTGATCCACTGCGATATCTGTCTGCACAACGTGCTCCTCGACGACAACTTCGATGTCATCCTCGCTGACTTTCAGGGTCTGGTCATCTCCCGTGAGACCGGTTTGACCATGCTTGATGGATTGACCCGTGAGTGCGCGAAGTCGTACATGCCGAGGGAGAATATCTGGTCTGCGAGTTATCGGACTGATCTCTTCGCGCTCGGATCGGCTATCTACCATCTTATTAATGGTCATGAGGTTTTCCCTGAGTTGGATAGCTTTGATGATGAGAAGATCATTAGCGCTCGCTTTATCGATGTGGAGTATCCGACGAATGATTACGTCGCTGGTAATATTGTGGAGAAGTGCTGGCGAGGGGAGTATTCATCTGCTGCTGAAATTTCGATTGATATTGCTGAGATTCAGGCTGCTGTGAGGGTTGTTGATGGGATGTTGAAGGAGATTGATGTGGATGCACCAATCGAAAAGATGGACGAAGAGATCAAAGAGGAGGGCGAAGAGTACGAAGAGGATGTCGAAGAGGAAGAGGGCGAAGAGTATGAGGATGAAGAGGACGGAGAGTACGAGGACGATGAGGACATGGAAGTTTCGTAAGCCTCGAGTGAGCATGACTCGAGTGTACATCACTGGAAAGTCTTATTCCGAAAGGATGAGATTGATATGTCTTCAAGGATATCAAGTATTCTTATTCTCTATGGAGTTGGCACATTATGTCTAGCGAAAATCAATAACAGCCTCCCCAATGTCAATATGATCATGGCTCATGCCCAGCAAATGTTTAGCAAATATTCTATGACTCAATGGGTAATAGTATGACAAGGGTAGACGGTCTATGTCTGTTTCGTCCATCGACGGGTCTCATCACCTTCTTCCCACTCGTGCTCGACGTAGCCCAGCTTCTTCTTGACTTCCTGGACCTTGGCAGAATCACCCATGTTCTTACCCAAATTGTCGCTGAGCTTGACAGCGGGACTGCCGTTCGCGCTGGCAATCTTGATAACAATGTTGAGGGGCTTAGATTTCTTTCCGGTTGATTTGGTAATAAAATCATCTGGGAATTTGTAAGTATGTTGTGCGTTGCAGGATTATAAAACTCAAACTTACTGGTGAAGAATGTTCCCACTCCAAAGGTAGGGCTAAAGCCTGCCTTTTCGGCAATTGCTTTATATTCCAGGCAGTGTTCAATATCCAGTGAATCTGAGAATACCACTGTCTTGGTGTCGGTAATACCCTGGCTATCGTAGAAGTCCCGGACCAGCTTGACAAAGAACGCTGGGTCACCTGAATCTTGGCGGACACCGGCGTAGCTCTGAGCGTAGGTTATCGTGTTCGAATTAATGTCACCCTTTTGGTCTGGTGCTGAAATAGGCTTGCTGAATGCATCCAGGAAAGCCGGTGTGCCAAAGGTGTCAGTGAGAGCGATTCCAAGAACCTGTGTTTCTCTAATTAGTCTGTGGCATTTCTCAATATTAAGAATTTGAAAATCACATACCCCCTTCCCGAAACAGCCAAGCCAGTAACTCAATGCCAACTCATTGGCCTTCTGGTAGTCGTCCGTGATAGCCGCAATGGTCATGTACCATTCGTGTGCCACGGTGCCGACAGCGCCCTTATTGTATTTCATAGCAAAGTGCACATTGCTAGTTCCAGCCATCACGCCAGGCCAGCCCTGCTTCTTTCCTTCCTCTGCGGCACGGCATAGCCCCTGCATAACCAGGTCCTGGGTATGGTAGTCGCGGCGACGGCGCGAGCCGAATTCAGAGAACACACAGCCATTCTGGAGCAAAGTGCAACCCTTCTGGTATGCCTTCTCCTCCTGACCTTCGTAGTCCCAGTCCTTGTCGGTGAACATGAAATATGCCTGACTGGTCAGCGCCAGCAGCGGGATTTCATACAAGATGGTGTCGAGCCAGAGACCCTCGACGATGTACTCCACGTTGCCTTGATCGTCATCGCTGCCCGTATCTTGTTCTGGAACAAACTTGATCCTGATCTGGTCTGAGGGTTTGAGGTGGAAGGTCTCTAGGAAGGTGAGGTACTCGTCATTGAGGTAGGGGCACTTTTGGCGGAGCCATTCACGCTCTTCGGCAGTGACGCGAATCACGGCCAGTTCTAGACGCGCATTAGTTTGAATGCTATATGATTGCGACAAGACGTGGTATCCTTACTGTCCATCTGCTCTAAAAGCCATTTGTATGCCCCGCGTTGCAGTTTCATATGCGGGGTCCGATTTGTGTAGCCGTAGGTCACGTCTGCGCCCAGATCAGTCCCAGATCCCCCATTCCTCAATCAGAGCTACTCACAAACATCCGGGAAGTATTTGAGGACCGCACATTGCATCGTCAGCTTGTACAGATCTGTGTCTAGCAGGGATGTGACGCCCTGTGGCAGGGATGTGTCTTTGCCCATCTTGTTGCTCAACCGGGGGGTTCCGGTCTATCAGTGGTAGATCAATGGAGAGGCGTAGTTTACAACAAGTTGCTGGGCTGGTTGGACAGCTAAATAGGCAAAAATAGCTGGGTTGTTGCGGCTTCTTTTCTTTTTTTTTCCCTTCAGTTGCGCAATCGATTTACAGATTTACAGCGGGGAAACGCGCCGATAATGCCGATAGCTGTTTGTTCTGTTTGCACCATTTCTACATCTTCACCTATGTCCTTGTTCTCATTCGCTTTCTTTATTTGATCTTGTGATTTTTCCTTTCAGTTAGCTTGTCTTGACTGCTATGCTCATTTTATGTGAGTTATCAATCAAAGAAGGTTGTGTGTGCATCTCTCGCGATATTTCTATTTGTACAGGGCATATGTTCCCCCACCAATGGCATTTACCACTTGCTCGGCTATAACGGCTATAACGTGCATGTTCGGAGATATGCACGAGAAGAACCGGAAAGGTTTCTCGGAGATGACTCCCTCCATTCAATGTAGTATAATCCCGCACAGCGAAGTAGAGCAATATCTATGAGAACGTTGAAGAGGCGCCTATTCGTTGGCATTAGGATAGTTCGAATCTTCGAGTCTAGTTTTTTTTTATCATTGAGGATCTATGTGATAGGGGATTTCCTTTCTGTGCCATATTGTAAAGACCTGTGTCATTTAACCTGTTGCATTGGCGTCTATGTCATCCTCTATAGGGATTCACAGGGTCACAGCTGGATGGGTAAGATATGCAGCTAAGTAGAGAAGTGTTGCTCCATTGCTATTAATGCCTTGATATCCATAGGACCAGGGGCTAAAAGAAGCGTTATTATTGTGTTGTAGCTATATTCTGCTACGGTATGCAAGACAGTGCGCTGTAGATATCTTCATAGATGAGCAACTATTGAAGTACTCCATCGTGGCCCTTGTTCGTAACTTAATCTATTAGTATCCATCTGTATTTCTAAAACTAGGATTTGCCCTATTGGCAATCATTAACACAACATTGTCTATGGAGCCTATCTTTACAGTCTGGTTGATCTGATTGAGGGGTGTTTGATTCTCGTCTGAGGCTTTGTTCATTTGACTTACTTACTTACATATCCTTGGAGTGCCCAACTTTCCGAATGGCATTATTGAAGAACACATTTCAGCCATGCGAGCCGCACCCTCGCCCACTGTGGTTACTGCTACAAATCCGCCAGATCGTCTCAAGCTAGCATTCTCGGTATTTCAAAATGGTCGATTGGTAGAGTTCCTCGGGTCAGAAGACAATCTCTTCCCGATGAACAGGGTTGAGAATCTCGCAGCTGCCGGAACTCTGCAACTGCCTCCAACTTTCATTTCCCATGGAAAACAGGATTCAGCCGTTCCATTTGAAGGCTCTCAGCGCTTCTTCGATTTGGTGCGAGAAAAAGCGCCCGGTGCAGTTATTAAGCTTCACGGCGAAGACGGTGATCATGGGTTTGACTTTGCGACAACGCTGGATACGGATTGGAGACGATCTCAAAGGCTTGGCTTGGCTACACAATGGTCCATTAGCTGCAAATTCTATGTTCTCTAGTAGAGATAGGCCAATATAGTTCCGCACGTGTTAAATCTGCTTTTTTTTACTGCGCTAGGATAGCCATACATCTTAGACGATCTACAAAAGAAAAATGTAAACAAACCATTGCTACTAAAAATTCAATGTAAAATTGAAACAAAAAAGAAATTGTTGTGCATCATCCGTGAATCGAACACGGGCCTCGTCGATGGCAACGACGAATTCTACCACTAGACCAATGATGCTAGTTGATATAATCCGCCTCGTTTTTATGCTACAAGAGTTATTTTTCTCCGTTTATTCAGGGTGAGTGTTTATAAGTTAACTAGTTAGTTATTAGGTCTGTTGTCATGACTTCAAAATTCAAGATTCACCGGATTACTTTGTTAGGACATTGTAGTCATCTGCTGAATTTTACAGTAGGGAAAATCCACTATATCTGCGGGTAAAACTTGAGAGATATATATTTGGCGCTACCAGATAACACAAATAAAACAAAACAATGGTTAGGATTCAACATATGTGATATTAAGCCCAGCGGTATGTAATAGGTCTAAATGAACCATAGATGTATTGCTATGCCCTTGAATGTAACATACACGATACAAGCCATAAATTTTAACACTACAAGCACACTTGAGATGGAATTGCTAGGCGTCTTTTAGGGTTGATGTTTGTCGCCAAGGCAATAAGTGGTGCCTACGTAATCTGCATTCTAGGCATACATAGGTAATGCATGCCATCCATGCATTTTTGTTCGTATTTTACAATTGACAGAGAAAAATCCTAGGCATTTACACCTCCATCCATCCCTTCTCGTTGTCATCAGGAGAGCTTTCCCGGTATGGGTGTTTCTCAATCCATTCCTGTGCGCCGACAACTGTAGCGGACTTCTCATAGAACTCGCTGAGCACGTCGTTCAGCTCTGTAAATCGTTAATATCCGCCCACTCTACCCCTTGTTTTGTCTAAGAACTCACTTTCGATTTCCATAGGACTTGAAGGCTGCAGGGAGAAGCGGGACATACCCTCTCTCCATAGTACCAGTGCAGATGGAATGGGTGTACCTAAACTCATAAGCTTCGATTTTCACTCAAAATCGAACATGAAAAACATCATACCTCGTGGAACACAGATAACAGTGGGGTCCAAAAGGGCCTTCCCGTCGCTGACTTCCTCCTGGTACCGGTCGAAATCAAAGCGCAGCATTTGCTGCATAAGACGAGAATTCGGCATGAAGATTGGCCCATTCGAGTCTGATATGTAGATAGTTAGACTCTATTGCACAAAAATTCGACAGGAGTTTACAGACAGGGGCTTGATTTTGAGATTGCTGCATGAACCAATCCATCAGCAGATACACTGACTGCATCCTTCCTGTGGCGGGTCTCGTCTTGGGTCACATCATATAGTGTGGCCTTGCGCTCCAGCTGGTATCGATACATGGTCGCGGGAAATGAAGCATGGGTGGAAAGTAGGGAGAACTTTCTCGCTTGATTGATGTTCAGCCGGGCGGCTGGTAGCCAGTGAGTGGCGAGCATTGTTCCTAGAGTATGTCGCGAGGTAATATTGTAGGAGTAAAATTCTCAAGTGTGTAGTTAAATTAACCTCCAGATATTGAAACTGGACTGTGGATGGGGAAAGGAACATGGGCCCCGGGGGTCCGTGACGTGATAAACATTACGTTGGGACAAGGTTTAAGTGGACCTTACTGAGCTCCAGTTCTCCCCAAAATATAGGGATTTCTATAATTAATTTTAAAGATACACATGTTTATTCACATCATTTTAAACATCAACCTTGGAATATCTGATGCAAATTGCTTCACACGCTTCGAGATTTGGAATTTCAACGAACATAATGAAAGTCACATGATTACAAATACTGTAATTTACTGAAATTAATACAGATATATATCTGTTGAGACCGCGTTTCGGCATCAGGCGGATAGCTTTAATGTTTCTTACCTTGTTTAATCTTTCTCTCTCTCTATTAGATCTTAATGCAGATATACATATAAAAAAAAAAGAAGCCAATTGAGTTATACAAGTATTGTTGAAAATAATAAAGAAAGCCCAAAAAAAGCAGTGACCGTGGATCGAACACGGGACTTCAAGATATCTGCAAATTGCAATCTCACACTCTACCGCTGAGTTACCACTGCAGGCGTTGAAATAACTCACCATTGAAATAACTTATGTGTTCTGTACTTCACTGGTGGCTTTTGTGCTCCTAAATTGCACTAGAGACAGCCATTCAGATTGACTACCCACCACAGTATGTATATGGATAAGTTTCCACCGAGCCGAGGCTTTGTATTCAGGGATGCGCTGCACTACCCCGGTGTAGTTGGGACTAAATGTGATCGATGGAACACTGCTCGAACCTATCTTCAAGCATAATTAACAAGGTTTGATGAGCGTTGGAACGTGGTCCATCTCCATATATCATAAAATACGCCTTTAGACACCACTATCTCATTTATAGGAGGTATGTCAATAATTCTATAATACTTGGTGTTAAGAGGCACTTTGAAGAATTAATATCGCCTGACAATGTAGGATGACTGAACTCGTAGCTTGCATCCCCATCAAAGATCATACTCGACAAGACCACAGGTGATATGTATATGTTGTACTCTATCTCTAGAAGTCTCAAGCTAATGAGACACAGTAAAATCTCCGGTTTCAGGCAAGCTATCCCCATCCAGCCACGGGCAGTCGACTTCAGCTTCGTGCAGTTTTTCCTGGTTCTGACCTCCCCAGAGCAGGATAAGGACTATCCTTCCATGGCGAACGATCTCAAAGACGTGCAAAACAATGGCTGGAGGTGGTGAAAAGGAGGATCGCATGCCCAAAAGAACTAGGGGCAGTTTCTGTCGCTTGGTCTCGTGCGTTTAGCCAACTAGCCAACTAGCTTAAAAGATAGATCTAGGCTGATGATAGGTGATGAGTTTCAATATTAATCTCTATTTTATAGAACTTAATGACCTCAGTAGGTAAATAGGGATAATAAAGAAAATAGTTTCCCGATGTTCGGTAAGCCGAACGTAACACGGAAGAAGATATCCGCTTCCGGGGAGACTGGCTGAATTTGCTTTGGGGAATCACTCGCTACAATGGAAGAATTCTCTGTTCAACAGCGTATAGTATGAATAAATGAATGTCATTATTATGCCTATATTCTACTCAATCATGCCCAGTTGTTCTCAATCGATTTTGCGGTAAAGAGATTTTCCAGCTTATTAGACTGAGAGTGGGCCCGGAAACGGAACGGAACAGGAAGTGCTGCATGCCCCTTGCGAAGACGCCAACAAACCCTTTTTTTTTTTTTTTTTATAGTTGAGATTAGGAGATTAGAGTCTTATTCGTTACAAATATAACTCCACCTAATGCGGGGAAGAAGTAAAGAACCTGGGGTTTCATTTATATCTTTTAGATGTGATACTGGTCATTGTACTGGGTAAAATAATGTCCGTCCTCCCTCCTCCCTCCGTCATGTGTGAACAATCAGTTGATAAAAAGATCGTCTCAATATTCTGAATATTATCCCGCCCAGAATCTCTCAGTTTCATTTACATCTTTCAATAATCATTTTTCTTCAATCTGTCTGTCTCGTAGGTCCCTTCCCCAGACCAAGAAAATAGTGGGGCCATGGCTGTCAGAGATTTCTCCAAATATCCGCCGGTGCTCAATGAGTCAACGCTAACTTACATACAACCAACCCTTTGACAGCACCAACATGGAGAAAGACATTGATAATACCAGCATGGAAAAAGATATGGAGAAAGATATGGAGAAAGTCATGGATCTAGACAAACCACAAGATCCCTTCGCCTTAGAAGAGGCCGGTGGAGTGCGGTACAAGACTATGAAATGGTGGTAAGTCTCAACATACACAGTGGTTCACAGCAAGCCAATACAAAAAGCTAATCAGATTTGCACTCAGGAACTGTGCAATTTGTACATACACCCCAATTGACTAAATTCAATCATGGACCACAGCTAAACAGCCAATAGTGATGATTGCTCAGTCTGTCTCATTGGGAGTTCTCTCCCTCCCGTCGTCGATGGCAGTCTTAGGTTTAGTCCCGTACGTCTGATGAGGATTCTTCTGAACTTTATTATGAACTCGTGCTAATCCTAACAGTGGCTGTATCATTATTGTTGGTATCGGAGCTTTGACAACCTACACTGGATATGTCGTCGGCCAATTCAAATTGCGATACCCGCAAATTCACAACATGGCAGATGCTGCAGAGATCTTATTCGGTCCCTGGGGTCGCGAGATCGTTAATGTCGCCCAGGTTTTGTGCTTCATCTTCCTGATGGGAGCTCATGTCCTGACATTCTCCATCATGATGAACACTCTTACTAACCACGGTGCTTGTACCATCATTTTCTGTGTGGTGGGAACCATTCTTTGCTTCATCCTGACCCTCTCAAGACGACTAGAGGAAGTTTCATATCTGGGAATTATCTGTATGACAGACCTCTTTTCTGCTGCTGAAAACTAAAACCAACAACTAACAATCACCAGCCTCGCTATCAATCTTTACCGCCGTGATGATCACCATGATCGCCATTGGCATTGAAGCACCCGATCCCAGAGCATACGCCATCACCAACCCCACTCTGATGAATGGCTTTTCCGCTACTCTCAACATCGTCCTTGCTTATTCCGGCCACATGTCATTCTTCAGCTTCCAGTCCGAGCTAGCAGATCCACATGACTATCCCAAGGCCCTGATTGTTTTCCAAGTAACAGATACCTCACTGTATCTCGTTACAGCCCTGGTAATCTACCGATACGCTGGTCCGGACGTCCTCAGCCCGGCCCTGCTGAGCGCAAGCGAACTAGTTTCGAAAATTGCATTCGGCATCTCCATCGGTACGATCGTCATTGCCGGCGTGGTCATTTGCCACGTCGGCGCAAAGTGCATTTACGTGCGGATGTTCCGTGGCACGCATATGATGAGCGAGAGGTCGTTCCGTTCATACGGTACTTGGGTGTTGATCACTTTCCTGATGTGGGTTATTGCGTGGTTGATCGCAAATGCGATTCCCGTGTTCAATGATCTGCTCAATATGATCGCCGCGGCGTTCTGCAGTTGGTTCTCGTTCGGTTTGGAGGGTCTCTTTTGGTTGAAGATGAACCGTGGACAGTACTCTGCAAGCAAACGGAAGATGGCATTAACTGCACTTAACGTCTTTCTTGTTGCGCTGTGCTGCTTGATTGTAAGTTTTGTTTTCTTTTTGATTCGTGAGGATTTGATTTAAAGATACTAATGTGAAATAGTGTGGAATGGGTCTGTGGGCTACAGGAACGAGCATTCGGATCAATGCGCAGTCTGCACACAAACCTTTCTCCTGCGCGTCCAACGCCTAAACGACTCTTTCTTGTCTAGTCTTTTCACGGACTATTCTTGTAAATTACATAGCTACCGTATGCATTTAGGATGTACAATTACTTACTCAAACGGAATTGTTCATAGAATTCAACAGTACATACTCAATGATCCATAAACTAAGTTTTGTTTTATCTACGTATGTTAATTAACCGAGGCACTACAGACAGAAATGGCAAAAGAAGTAACTATCTCAGCTCCTGGACCTGAGGCTGGACCTGGAGGATACTCAAAATTAGACGATGATATAAGCAGGCTTGGCGGCCTGGGGGTATCCGGGACTTGGCAAGCGCTAAGGCAGCCACACAGGTCAGATCTCTTGGCGCATTTATACTTGAACGGTTGAACAGTATACAACACACTAGTTACAACAGTCTACTCCGTACTATAAAGATTCACCTACCTCCACTCATTTTTACTGGTGCACAATTAACGTAGTATTTTGTATTCTTACAAATGAATGCTATATTAATTTTAAAAAATAGGGCCCTTTGCACTCCTAACTCTCAGTTTCTTACTATATTACTAGTTATCTTCCTATCTTAGTATGTAGTTGGTCCCCTATTAGTACATAGCCATCACTGCCTGGCGATAGGAATTTCTCTGGTATGGTATCATAGTTGTTATAACCTGCCCCTTGACTGGTGAGTTACACACTAGGCCAAAGCCACTATATCTGAGCATTATGCTCAGATGGACCAGGCTCCGATGTGTATATATAGTACAATGTGACACTCAACCACACCACGAAGCTTTGATAAAGGAAAGTACCGATACCTATCCCTATACTTTCTCTCAATATAATCCTTCATCTAGTTCTATGCCTCCTTAATAGGGTTTAAATCAGGGTAAAAAGGTAGGCCATTCTATTATAATAACCCTAAGCCCCTTAAAAGGAACCAGAAGTCTCTTTAGTAGGATGTCTAGGACCTACTGATCGATCATGTAATTGGCAACCTGTCCGATTGCAGCTCGCAGCTGTTCCTCATTTTTATGCCGCAGCTTGTGTGAGCATCGACCCAAGGTACTTTAAGCTCACTCACACAGCCTTGAGGGTAATTGGGAGACTGTGCGAGACCAAAGCAACACAACATCCGGCGTTTGGCCGTAGCTTATACCGACTGACTTAAAAAAGTCAGCAAAGAGAATATCCACATTTTCGGCCCTGAAGACCAGACCGCTCCAAGGGTTTGGCCCACGGCCTGTTGAAACCGTCCCTTGACGCCCATTTCGTCGGCGACATAGACTTCTTCCTGTCTGAGATCACGGGATCGAAGATTATAGTCAATGACAGCCGTGGACTAGCGTACGGGCATGCTAGCCCTCACATTTGCCTTGAAATTTTGTCATTGATAAAGAGGGGCAATGTAGCGCATCCTGTGTGTCGCGGAGGACGTCGTGTTGGGGGCGTTGAGAAGTTGAGGAAGAGAACTTTCGACTGCTTCGCGTGGATAGATCGGGAGTGGTGGCATTATGACAGTTTGAAGCTGAAAACTGATTTCTATTAGCATGTCAATTGAGCTTCAGGTCTAGGTCTCCTAGGTACGACTCACGTCTGGTGGATAACTGGGGGTTAAACACTGGAAGAGCGAGAGAAATATGGACTTGGCAGAGAAAGATGAGTAAAACCCATACGAGAGTATCATCGTATATAACAATCGGATCTTACTCCCTTCTTAGACGGAAGAGACCCTCTATCATAATACGTATAATATAGGATTCACTATATATACCTAGGTAGCCTATGAATAACTAGGGACTTCTAAAGTGAATTGAATCTGAAGTGAATCAGAATTGAATCTGACATCTGGGATTCTCGTGAATTGCAAATCTGCCGGGGATGCTCGCTAAAGATGCCGCTAAAGATGCTCGCTAAAAAAACAAATGATAAAACACGGACACTAAGCCCTAATAAATAGACAAGTAGGTATAGATAAACATGAGAAAACGTCTTTGCCCTGCGTATGACTCTCCGAGAGCATGATAATATGTGCTGCTAGTCTGGAGCTCACGCATAGAGCTGCGGGAGTACACCCTCTAAATGGTCTGCTGAGACTAAAGCAGGCATATGGGTTTTCGGAGGAACCTCTTCGAAGGGTTAGCAGGTAGGCTGTGCAAATCATTGAGCTCCATGGCCGATACCCTCACGCTGAGCTAGCACTCTGTAGACAATTGGCTAGCTTATGTATATATAGTAGGCTATGCGTAGAGCAGGTTGACTTTCCGCATCGCTGTAGTGTTTTAGGCCCATCTCCAGTGACCTTTTCTTATACCGCACGCACCCGCTTTGAGTGACGTTCTTCAGGACCACACCGTGATCGTTTGCGATCACCTGGCCGCTTGTGCGACGGTCGACGATCCAAAGTGCATAGGTGGAAGTCGATGATCAGGGCCCGCTCGAGTTCAGCATTCCACAGGATGTTGTCCGGACGAAGATCCTCATGAACAACGCCGAAAGAGCGGATCTCCTTCACCGACCGATAAATCGCTCGTCGCATAACCTTACCTTGAGTACTATGGCCTAGGCTTTCACCACCCCAGCCCATTAAAAGCATATGACGGATCCTTCCCGCACCGTGGAGGAAGTAAGTTTGGGCCAAATTGATCGCCCCGAGAAAGACGGGAATAGCCGATCCTTGGGCACGCCGGAGGACTCGGTAGACGTCGGCTTCGCGCGAGACCTCCCCCCAGAGTCTCGACGTCGTCCCCTTCCCGACAATAGTATATCCGAAGGTGGCACACGTAATCTTGAATGGTGCGCCGGAGGACCCGCAAGGGCCGATAGGGGAGCAGTTATGATCCAGATCCTGATCAAGCTGCACCTTGAGCTTTTTCACCAAGTCAGCTGCACCGATCGGATGGCGGTCCGCCTTTCCATCACGTATATGCAGCTCCGTGTTGGGGCACTTAGGGTCAAGTGTGCCGCCTTGCTGTAGTCCGAGAAGGCACTTTTGTGTGCAATATGGAGCATCATGGGAGCGAGATTGCCCGCTTTGGTTCCCTTGGCGATCTTCTTGCGGTGCAGACCGTTGGGTTGGCGGGGACGATGTGACCTGGCTGAATCCCCGCTTCCGTCCTGCAGATGCGGTAGGGTCGGGCTCGGAATCCGAAGAACTCTCGTGGTGAGACGGATCGGACGGCGGCGCGCACCTAGCGGCCGCTCGTGTGGTCACTCGAGGGCCGGCGGTGAGGGGAGACGATGATGTGAGGTAATCAGAGGTTGTCTGCTCAGGACTGGCGAATTCAGAGCTAGTATCGTCCACGTTCGGGTTCCGAGGTAAATTTACCACTAAGGTCTGGGAACGATCGCTATCTAAATTCGTAGGCCATTTCGGTAGGCGGTTTTTGGCGGCATTCCGCCACGCCTGATCACGAAGAAAGGAGCGAAAACTCATTAGACAGAGGCAGAGCGTCCTCTCAATTCGAGTCATCGGAGCCCTCCCAGGTCCGCCAACGGCTGCATTTCCGTACAAACCGGGGTCACCCAGGTGGTAATGAAGGGTAGTAGGGTCATCGTAGGGCACCCAGAGCTGCACGTCCATCAGACCGTTCGTCAAATATGAATATTCCAGACCATCTTGAATCATGACGTGAAATTCTTGGACAATGGCGGCTCCGACCAGCCTCGCGGCATTATATTTTGATTTTTCCGGCTCATCCACTGGAACACTATTAGGTTCGACGATTTCTTGCCAAAAATCCATTGGTCGGAGTCCCTCCCGCAAGCTCGCCACGGAGAGCTTGTGGGGGGGTTTGTATTCGACCGTGGTGAGCAAGGTACTCCTATCACCGTCTATTCGATGGATGCAAAATTGATCCGGCTTCGAAGCCTTGGTGGTTGATGGCAGGCTAGGTTCGGCTTCATCATCTTCGTCTAGAGCATTGGCGTGATTATCGAACCACACTCCATTGCCTAACTGGAACTCCTCCTGAGCTTCTGGTATTTGGCACAACTCAGCGACGATATCGTGCACATGGTCTTCGACGGCGAATCGCTCGTAGGTCTCGAGATCTTGTTCGCTGCTAATTGGTCGACGTTCGAATCGTCGACCATGGTCTTCCAACGCAACAAGTGACGGGAAGAACTCCCGTGCATCCTCTTCTGTCGGTTGCAGGTAACGGTACACAGATTCGTAAATTTCCCGCTGTTTAGCCTCACAGTCAGTCCACGGAAGCAGTCGTAGGGGACAGCATTTTCCGATAGGAGCTTGAATTTTGCCTGTCGTGGAGCGAGACGGTGTTTGGGCTCGGAGCGGCGTCCAAAGGAGATTGTGGCAATGTTGGATGAACTCTGGAAAGGTGGTGAGTCGGTTGCGCTCCCTCTGTTGCCTCTCCCGTTCCTCTGCCTCCGTTTGGCGTCCTTCTGCCTGTTGTTTCCTTTCTTCTGCCTGTCGTCTCCGTTCTTCTGCCTGTCGTCTCCATTCTTCTGTCTGTTGTGTCTGTTCTTCTGCCTGTCGTCTCCATTCTTCTGCCTGTCGTCTCAGCACGGCCTCCTGCTTCCTTTCTTCCTCTGCTTTGAGGAAAAGCGCCTTATAGTCCGGGGGCTGCTCCCACTCATCGTTACCGTGAATAAAGGGGGGATAAGTGGACCACTACGAGGCAACGTTGATGGTTGGACTTTCCCCGCATCTCGGGGAAAGTATTTATCCGTCAAGTACTAATCAGCTCGCAATACGTATAATATAGGACTCACTATATAGGCATATAGGCATAGGTTCTAAAGTAAATTGAATCTGAATTGAATCTGAATTGAATTGGCAGATCTCTTGGCCGCTAGTTTAGGGGTGGGTGAATCTTTATAGGGTAGACTGTTGTATACTTTGTATACCTAGGTAGTTATCTCTAAACCAAAATATATGCATCACTTTCCCAACCCATGTACTCCGTAAGCAGAAGTACATCCAAGCTAATCCTGAAATAATTATTGTAGTCCCGAGTAGAGTGTAGGGCCTAATATATAACTATACCGCTGCAGCGACAATCGTTCCGATTGTCCCTATGATCTTTTGGCTGGTCAAATGCTCTTATGTAATCACACACCGTCTGGATTACTCCGTACACTAGCCTGGGACACGGTAAGCATAGGAGAGATTGTTCGCATAACATTAAATGGGGACTGTGGTGAACTGATACCATATTCTATATTCTATATACTGTAACAAATGTGATGTGGTGATGGCTTAGCCTTTTATACAACATAAGACATACAACATACCTAGCTAAGACATACTCATGCGTGAACCAAGTCTTGGCTTTGGGCCCTCGCCACGGGCCGAAGGTGGACCTCGACCCTGCAGAGCCTACACGCTTGGCGCTTACTCTGTACTTTCGGACTTAATGAGAGTTGTTATAAAGGAAAGGGGAAATTATATTGAACAAAACTGATGTGACAGTCAGGGAGCTGGAGTAACCGGGTCTGCACGTTACCGGTCAGTCACCGTGGAGATTGGGTAAGACATGTGGGACAGTGATAGGAGTCTTTCAATGCCATATCGTATCCCGTACTCCATATATTAACACAATACAACTATTTTTGAGCGAATCATTTGATTGAAACACACCCCCCCGAGGGTTTGGCCCCATTTTCAGGGGGTCCCACTTTGTTTGAGAGACTCCAATGAAATGAAATTTGAATGCTTCGCCTCGTTCAGGCTGAAACATTTGCTTGATTATAACGGATTACGCCCCGAACTTCTTCTTCTTTAACAATCTTTACCGGCCAAGGAATTCGACTCCTTGGCTATCCTCGGCACCTGTGGTTTATCAGGACAATGAGGTTTAAAGGTGCTGGGCATATGGCCATACTGGCTTTGCGCATTCTACCGTTTGCCAGTCATGTCTGCGCGATTAACCTCGATGTTAACGATCAGCGTAAGGAGTTGGATCACGGGGAATATTTCTCCTATCGATTCGAAGAGCTGAATTGCTAACTATTGTGCTTTTTTCCCAATGAATAGAATCCATCAAAGATGCCGGGAGCACTGCAACATATAATATGATGACATGGTACAAAGAAAATGGAACGGATAACCCAGGTTTTATCTCAAAATCATGGTGGACAGGAGCCGCTTTGTTTCTGGCTTGTCTCAACTATTGGCATGCGACCAACGACACAACCTATAACGAGGAAGTCAGCATCGGCATGCAACATCAGGGAAGTCCGACTGGAGACTACATGCCTTCGTGGGCATCAGGCATAGTAAGTGTCCCGTTTCAAGATCTGAGATCGCACCATGCTGACCTCTTCCCCAGGGAAATGACGATCAAATGTTCTGGGGCCTCGCAGCGATCACAGCAGCGGAATATAATTTCCCGAATCGACCAACGGGCGACACCTGGCTCACCCTTGCCGAGGGTGTTTTCAATGACCAGAAAGACCCAGATGGAAAAGGGTGGGATACGACTGTTTGTGGAGGTGGTCTTCGCTGGCAGAAGGAACTCTGGCAAAGTGGATATACCATGAAGAACGCGGTGTCGAACGGTGGCTTTTTCATGCTCGCAGCTCGTCTCGCTTGGTTCAAACAAGAGAAGGGGTATGCTACTTGGGCGGAGAAAGTCTGGGACTGGTCTACCTCTGTGAATCTGGTCAATGATACAACCTGGGAAGTGGCAGATAGTGTCCGACAAGGCACTGGAGGTCCCGATGGTTGCAGTCTTCCTGACCACACCCGATGGACCTACAACTATGGTACCTATGCGTCTGGTGCTGCGTATATGTATGCATATGTGAGTATTGTTCTTTTTATTTCTCATCTGCTTACTCACCCAGAACTACACACCTGGACATCCTGTTTTGACATGCTAATAACAACGTTATAGACGAACGAAAATAAATGGCTCGAGATCACAACCGGCCTAGTGGACGCAATCTTTACTACATTTGCCCTACCTGAACACGGAGGTGTGATCACAGACTGGAACTGCGAAGCATCAAGCCGATGCTATGTAGACGCCAACGGCCCACTTTTCAAAGGCCTTACAGTGTCCTGGCTTTCAGATATTGCATTGATCATCCCTGAGTTTAAGGAGAAGATCCTACCAAAACTCCAAGTTTCCGCCAAAGGTGCTGCAAATTCATGCACCGGAAACAACGAAAACCTCTGTGGAAACCACTGGTACGGCGGATACGACGGACAGAATTCAATGGAGAATGCCATCAGTGGAAGTCAGATCATGAGTGCTGTGATGCTGAAATTCCTAGGCGATTCCTCAAAACCAGTATCAACTGCCACCGGAGGAAATGGCTCAAGTGACCCGAATTCCGGTACGAGGAAAACGTCGGGGCCTGAGACGTTGGCACCTATCACGACGGCAGACAAAGCAGGAGCTGGAATCCTGACGGCGGTTTTCGTGTGTCTTACGGTAGGCGGGTTGGTCTTTTTGTTTATGAACCCCTGAGCTCTTAAGAAGATGGGCGAAGCTTACGGGCAGATGTATATTTGGAGTTTGAAACGAGCATTCCTTTTCTGTTTACTTGCACCTTACCTTGTGAGATACAATCCACCAGGAATACCCAGACACACCACTCAGACTGGACCTCGTTATTTCCGGTGCCTTGCACGTAGAGAAATCAAAAATTGTCCTGTCAAATCGGCGCCGTCAATACACTAGACGGCTTCAAGATCAACACCCTCGGCCCAATACTACCCATGAAGCATCGACAACCCAGGTTTGCCAGAGAATGTCGGCTACTGTGTACAGAACGTTGACCAGTTTCACTATTACGTTGTTTTGCAAAGAAACCCCATGACCCACCGAGGGCTTGGCTCGTTCTTGTCTTCTTTCCATACCTTGGAGAACCTGACAGCCAAGGGATATGTCCCGTCCGTACATCCCGTGTCTCATCATCTCGATTTGAAACACTTCTGCCTGCATGCGATCGAGCATCCTGATCGAGAAAGACCAATGCTTAGTGTGACGGAGATACATACAATTCTTGTACACCTCCTGTCCCAATCTCACTACACTAGAGATTGACTTGAATCCGGATGACGTATGGGTTAGTTTCGTGGAAGATTGAACTCGACGCAAGCTAATCAGAAGTTTCTATAGCCTGTCCCATTCATTGATACCCTGGCAATCGGATTCGTCAACCTTCGTCAGCTATCTATTCATGTTGAGTTAGACCTCCGGCGAATGGAAGTAGAATTGCAATTGATGGCGTCGGTTTTAACCAAGTCTAAAGCGCAAGACTTTGGAAAGCGCTTCTTTGGTCGGGGACATGAACCTTCGAGTCTTGACCCTCCCAAGAAGGGGGATGAGTAATCTCTTAAAGAACTCGAATCGTAAATACTTCGAAGGGCTCGACAAGCAAAGAAAAGGGTTACACGCATGCTTGGGCCACGCAAAGGTGTTATTAAAAGTCATTTTGAAGGAAATAGGATATCTCATCTTACCTAGGTAGTTCTTAACTGATTTCCACCTGTACTCGATGAAACAGTCAGCGAAATCTCTTATGAGATCAGCAAACCACTTTAGAATAACAGCTCATACCCACATACAACATACAGTATATATTTCGCTCTACTAGAAAGGGAATGATTAGTTACACCACAATTGACAATTAAGTAAGCAGCGAATACGACCTGCACGAGTATTAATAGTCATCTTCTCATCCCCCTCCTTTGACGCATTCCAAATTTCGTACATTGACCAAAATGGCCCCATCTCTCCCACCTCAGTACGAAATCCGCATTCTTGGACCAGAACATGAGGAATGGGCCCGGGCAATTTGCATCCATACAAATCTATTCCACTCCCCACTCTGGCCGGTTGTGTATGCTGAGAACAAAACCCAGCGAGCCTACCAGACTTTCCGACATTCGCACTATTTAATCAAACACCAAATCGACTCAGGGAAGTCGCTTGGTATTTTCGACAAAGAATACAAATTCAAACGACCCGAGTCCGCAGCCACGGGAGGCAAACTGTACTGGGATCTGGAAGATGACAATGCCACGGAAAGCGATCTTGCAGGGCAAATGGACTTCCCACTAGTCTCTATTGCCATGGCGTACGATGGAATCGACGAGTTGGACATGGCAGAGATAAAACCTCTGATAGCAGCACTGCCCTTATTCGAAACGGTCTACCACGCCCTTGAGGAACGGGACCAGCGCGATCCTGCATCGTGGAAACCCACCGCCCGTGGACAAGTGCTGATGCGCAACGCTACCAATACCCTTCAATCGTATTCCGGTCGGGGGCTTATGAGAATCCTGGCGGAAGAGATGATGAGACGTTCGGCGGCGGAAGGGTACCGGGGTATCCAGATCGAGAGTGTTTCTTATGCTGTGCAAAAGGTGTGGTCGAACCCGCCGGCTCCGTTCAAGGGGACTGTTATTGCGCAGTTTCACACGACTGCGTTCGAAGAGAAAGATGCCTCTGGGGGAGTTTCGTATCCCTTTCGACCGGCGGATGTGGATATTTCCAAGATTTTTGTTGACCTCCGGCCTGAATAACTTCAACAAGATTAACTTAGTCTATATTGAAGTCATACATATAAACATCTAGTATGTGACTGGTTGGTGGAGTAAATTCCTGACTTATTTTGTTCTACCTAAATGACTAATTACATGCATAATGAAAGAGGGAGTGAGTAAACACCCCCCATGTATTCCGTGGGACTCGACAAGTGAACTATGATGCCCAAATGCGTAGCGACTTGTTGGAGAACACTCACGAGAAAGACTCGTTTGATTTGGGTGTGGAGCTGCATGGGCCTCAACGATGTTGATGTCTCATGCATAGGCACCCGGGTTGCTACCCTCCCCTATGTCTCATAGGGGCTACGGTGAGATGGTGGCGGAGAGGGAGAAGGCTGGAGGAAGAAGAGAAGAGAAGAAGAAGAAGAGGAAAAAAGGTGGGAGGGGTCCTTTTATATGGTCACATCCCAGGTACCTTCCTAAAATGGAAAACTCTCCAACGCACCTTCTTTCATAGTCCTATGTCACATGTCATCTTCTCAATTTGTATTCTGTTCCTATAAAAAGCAAGTCTCTTGTTCATTCAAAAACAAAGTTCTCATCGGCCGATCTAGTCAACCAGATTTGTAGATCTCTGAAAGCGTCAAGGTCATTTTCTCTAGTGAAATATCAACAGCAGGGTCGTGCCAGTGGCGAGTTCTTTTTAATAACTAAGACTTATTTATAAGTGCAAGTATTATAAATTATAAATATATAATAAGAAGTAGCGTCCTTTATCTTTAATAGACTAAGGGTAAAATCGAATTGTCTTACCTGATGCGTTATGTCACCCTCCAGATATCCACGATGTCACCGGGATACACATACAACGCCAATATGATGATGAGGTATCTAAATGACATTAGCCCAAGATCTTCGGTCATCTTAGTAGATATGGGTACCGTGACATACAGTGCCAGGGCCATGCAGCCTTTCATATAGTGAAAAACTCCATCTTTGATCAAAAATGCGGTCGACAAAACACTGATAAACAATGATACATTGAACGATGCAAGAATTTGCCAGAAGACCAAAACCCATATTTCGAGGTCGCTGGCTTGTTAGTCCAACACAATGCGAACTTAGATCATGTGGTGCGCTTCCCAACAATGGAGACTTACTTGGGGACAACCGCGCGATATAAGACTCAAGTCACTATTGAAAGGAGACAAGCACCAGCCCGAGAATTGCTCAACAAGGTATTCACATCGAACCAGATGATAGATTTGGACCACAAAATGCGACAGGCGAAACTAGAATCACAGAACCAAGGAGGACGATTTCTCGGATGGATTCACTACATGGTTACAGGCAATTGTTAAGGGCATGATTTATCTCCCTGGTCAAGTTTTAGCTGGGCGACCTGTAAATTCAGTGGTATTCATGGGGGATCTAATTGCAGCCATTTGAAGAGAGAGCTACGAAACACGCACTGCTCCTATCATGTTAGATGATAGCTTTCTGTTCAACAAAATATAGCACATGAGATCCATAAGGGGTGCATAACAGGGGTACCGTCCTCTCAGTCGTACTTAAGCTATACGCCAGTCAGTTGGCAAAGTTGGTTGCTGGATATCGCGTTTCAAATTGAGTCTTACGTGTATAATAGCAGAAAAAGAGAGCATTCGGCCACATAACGTGTAGACTGAAGCTATAGTTAGTTAGATGAAGCATGAGTACATGTCGCGTGGTTTAAACCGACCAATAATCTGATCCTTCTGCGCTAGTACAATAAGGCAATGTCGCACATCAAATGTTGGTTGATTGTGTACACCATCTGCGCCTATCGCTATTAATCCGTAGTAGACACTCCGGTCTATACACTAACCTCAACCCCGTCACCCTTTGTCTCGATATTGCTAAACAGCTTATTACTCGACTGTTTGTTATGAATATATTTCAGGGAAAGAATAAATGCAATGGATTACTATCACTTACTGCAAGAAGGAACCAGTCACCTCATACAAATTAGAAAAGCAGGACATATGGCGACAGACTCGTTCAAAGACAAAAGAAACGCCCATAATGCATTATATCTTGAAAACATCATGCTCCTTCGTTGGCCATCGTCCGTACCGCATAACCTCACACATCACATATCACATAATCCCACACGTATCATCGTTCGTTACCCGTCCTCGTTAATACGCTCGCCCTGCACTCTCCGTTCCAGACATGGACCAACATTTCACATCGGCCCATTTTGGTGACCCTCAACACCCGGTTGAGCAAATCCAGACAGTGGAATCAATCAATGATCCACAAAGCAGTCCACAACGACCACGACATTGCTAAAGCGCGGAATAAAAGAGCGCAGAGCAACGCCCACCAACTCCCCGGCACCGGGAGTCATCAACACCAGTGTCGACAATAAGAACCGGAAGAATGCCCATTCGACACGCACCATTGAACTTCAGATAAGAAAAAAAGAAAAGAACAAAAATGATCCGAAACAATCCAGAAACCCCCGTGGAATGATATGGCACAGCCATAATACATAGATAGTCCGTTTCAAATCTCCCAATATTCCTCATCCTCACTCTCACTCCCACTCTCATTTCCACTCATATCATGACTCCCATACCCGGAATCGGACCGTTTCGCACCAGGCGAAACAGCATAGATCCCCCACCCCGAGTGCTTGTCACAGGTATAACCAACCAGGACGGTTTTTTCTTGTATTCCATGGCCGCGCTGGCCATACGCAGAGCAAGGGTCGATGGAGTGTTCGAAGTAGAGACATTTGCAAACGGAGTAGCGCTCGACGACTTTGTAACACATTTTGTATGTTTTTATTGTATTTAGAGTGTCGGGGGAATGGATTGATGGTTGGAGGATTGTTGTTTTGGGGTGATTGTTTGAGACTCGAAGGGGAAAAGCGAACCAGTCGATTGATTTGAATAGAAGAAGTAGAAAGTCGAAAGTAGAAAATAGGAAGTAGAAAATAGAACGGACAAGTGAAGAAAAGCACGCTGTCTCACGAAAGAATGACCCGAAAACGAAATCAGAGGGAGTGACTGGTTTGACAAACTAAGAGGGGTGGGTGTATAGAGAGGGACTGGGGGTTATATATGCAGCGATTATCGAATGGATATAGTATCTATAATTATGGAGATAATATAATAACTGTAATAATAGGATAATCATATACTAAAATAATAATATTATAATAAAATATAAATATAAAATCAAATAAAATCAAATAAAATGTAGATCCAAAGCATATCCCATCAGCCCTATGGGTTGTAGCCCCAGGCAGAAACCAAACAGGGCGCGCCCAATCGGCTAATAAGGCTGAAGAGCAGTGTGAAATGGATAAATCCACTATGTAGACAGTAGACAGGTACTGGATATCTACATGGGTCAAGTCTAACAGAGTCTCCAGAGTATCCAGAGTATCCATTTTACCCCTCTATGCTGTATGTAGTGGGTGACTATGGAGGATAGTGGGGGGGGGGTGATGCACCCCTCAGCTGGAATGTTCACATCCCTGACTCTAAAGTCTTACTTGGCACAGGAACAGTATAACTGTACCCAAAATGATCTACAAAGGTATGGCATGGAAGCAAAGACGGTGAACACATAATGAAGAAGCCCAACCGGCGATGAGCAATCCAGTACAGTGAGTCGGTGAGCCACAGGCTGTGCAGCCACAGAAAACAGGAACTAAATACAACATACAACATACCGAAAATCACTAGTTATCACTGATTATCACTGGGATGAGGAACGAGAAATGACGGATCGTAGTCTAACTGGTTGAAGGACGTCGATCGTCAATCCAAAGTGCCCCAGTGGACATCGGGGCGTTTTGAGTCAGACGGTCGACTCGAACACAGCCCCTGTCACTTCCCACGACTAGTACTGCGGCTCAAAGGGATATAGGGCTGTTTGACCGCATATTGACAATTATATGGCCATACAAATATAATCCATTCACTTACAATTTGGAACATTCAAGCGGTGACATCTTGTGTATATTGTTGGGGGTGGAGCGAACTAGGCGCCCGCATTCAGCTGCTGACGCTAAGACTAACCGAGTTGCCTATAATTGTTATGTCCTCCGATAGCCGATGGAGCAATCCACAACTGTTTTTTTTTTTTTTTTTCTTTCTTTTAGTTTGACGCTAATCACTACGTTTTCCCCGTTGAATGGAGGTACCTTGTGGGTTAACCGTCAGAGGCCGTAGGGCTGAGCCTTTGAGGGGTCGAGTCCACTTGCTGATGATTGCCGTTTTTGGAAGGCCGAATTAGCTACGTATTCGCATTACATTGCAGATACACTGCTGCTACAATATACGTAGAGAACATAAGCACTGGCTCTGAAAGGATTAAGTAGCATAGTAGTTTTGATATCGTACAGCGCCTGTCATAAAGACAAAGCGGGGTCTCGAACAAGTAGTTGTGGTTTGTGTGTGTGCGTGTGTGTGTGCAAGTGGGCTAAAATAAACTCATTTTCCCGGATTAAAAAACACCCATTTTCAAAACTAGGCCTCCCTCTCAAACTCCATAATTTCAGATTAATCCCATTGCACCATGACTCAACCCGCGTGCCAATCCCAGTCGGAGCATCTGGAGGATATCCTCACCCTTGGCAGTCTCGGGAAGCCCGACACGCCAATCCCATCCGCGATCGGCGGCCTTGTCACTGGGAGCCGGCACCAGGACGCCCGAGCTGCCTACAGAGGTAGGGCCCGATCCTGAACCGGACCGTGTGCGCGCTGACTCGAGCATGTCGTTGCCGATAAAGGCGAAGCTGGAGGCGGAGAAATTGGACACAGATTTCTTCAATAGCGCGCGAGGGGACGGGGGTCCATCGGATCCCCCGCGAATTGATGATTGATATTCCAGTAGGGTAGAGCGGAAACATTCCTCGCACTGTGCGTATACACGGGGGGTGACGGTTTCCAGATCCTCGATTGCAGACAGGATGGTAAATTGTTGGGATACAGAGAGCACTGCAGTGGGTTCTGGTCCGGGTTAGTATCAACCAAGAAATTTTGACGTGGTTAGATTGGGAAACTCACGATTCACAAACGCACAAGCTTCACCCAGCAGAGCGAGCAGACCATCCACCTGCACAGCGGAATCACGGTCTGGGTCATAGAGACCTCCGTAAATATTATCTGCCGCACTCCCAATGACAGCCGCAAGGGCTTGCGCAGCGGCGCGTCGCCGAGCCAACGGCTTATACCGTGGTCGCTGACCCTCGTGCAGTTCGAATTCCTCGTCGCGGATCTCATAGAACCGGCGCAGCGTCGCGTAACCACTGAGATAGAACTGGAGAATCCGAGCAGCTTCTTCGTCGATTTGTGCAATGGATGACAGGCATGCTTTGGGTTCCTTCATCAAAGAGCGCAGTTGATCATCGAGATCGGCCGTCGCAGGGTACGCGCGAGATTGAACCAAACTGTAGGAAATCAAAAGATCGACAACCGATTTGACCTTGCGTCGGCTCTGGGCACGAGCATAGCAGACGAGGGCCAGACCGAAGTTTTCCGATTTCGAAGTCAACATATCACCGAATCGCTGTCAATAAATTAGCACTGGGTCGGATAATCAGCAATTCCCTTCCATCACTCACCTCAGATACCCGACGCCCTTGATCCTCCAGCTCAAGTTCCGAGCAGAGAACCACTAGTTTATCCAACTGATCAGGACTTTCCAAAGGAAGCTTATCCACGATCTCGGATACGGTCTTCTTCATCTGGTTTGAATCGTCGAAGCGGCTCAATACCTCAATAGCCAGCTCCCAGCCTTCACGGGAGCTGTGTTCGTTCTCAATAACGGCTCGGTCATACAGCCCGAAGGCGTAACTGTGGAGAATATCGTCCTTGCGTAAATGGCGAGCCGGAGACTTGCTATCCTGTCCGTATGAAAGAACCATAAGATCATCCTCAGACAGACCAGGTAGTGTCTTTTGGCTGCTTCCAGACTCAAACCAGCCTCCTAGGCTGGCAACTTCTGCCACAGCGGAAGCCACGCAAAGTGACCATGTCTGCACTAGCTCCAATACGCCCTGCACGTTGCCTTCGAAGACAGATGCAAGTCCGACCTCCACGCTGCTGAGTGTATTGGGTCGGAAATCAGCGTTGTCGGACGCATCGGTGGTGGTGTGGCTAAGAGCTAGTTTGAGGCGGTCGAGGTAGGCGCCGCGAATGTTGCGATCAACGGCGCGAGCATGATTCTTTGGGCCGCGCGAGCGCAAGAAATCTTGGAAGTTGTCGCTGGATGAGGTAGCACCAAAGTCCATGCCGGAACCAGTGTCATCCTCGCCATCCCACCATGCTGTCAAAGCAATGGTCGCCTCCACCCAGTCTTGAGACCTGCCCTTGATGGCAGATGGGTCGCCCAGAATAATTCGGTAGATAGATCTCAAGCTCTGGTAAATTGACCATGGGACACGACTTTCTGCCATGCGAGCCGATTGAGCGAATGAAGTTGGGTTCTTGCTTGGGTTAAAAGTGGACAATCCAAAGTTGACGGCCTGGAAGCGATTCTCTGGGACCGGCACAATCGATTCATCCCGCTCCTCTCCCTCGGCAAATTCCTCCAGGTCAGTGACAGCCGAAAGAACTCGCTTCCGGTACTGAGACCAATCAAGACCGGTGACCTCCCAGTCTTCAGATTGAGTCCCAGGGCATGATTCTAGAATTTGAAGAGCCTTGTTGATGCAGCGCTGGATGTTTTGCAGCTGTGCGCCGCGGTAGCCAGGCTGTGGGAGGCCATCCTCCATGGCTGATCGGGCGTGGTTGAAGTCTGCGGAGCGGAGAACATCTGCGGCATCAGCCAAGCGACCACGAAGCACAGAGGCAATGATAATATCCCAGAAATTTGTGGATGCGGTCGGGTTTGGTTCCACATATTTCAATGCTTGGAGATCCTTGGTCTGCGATGCGTGGTTTTCACTGAGCCAGTCAAGCAAGATCTGTGGTAGAGGCTTAGGAACGGGCGGTCTTGTCATGGCTTTCACCATACCAGCAGCCCCGGTGCGCATGGGGTTGATGTGGGCAGGCGAAGGTGCTTCACGAGAAGGGTGGTGGATTTGGAGCAGCAACGAGGCCAAGAAGGTAGCTTTCACGAGGTTGGGAGCCTTCTCCCCGGGCCCAATGCCAGAATGGGCACCGTAGGGCCGGTCAATCCCACTTTCATCGGCGAAATTCTGCCAACTCTCTGCCAGTTCCTTTGATACATTAGACAATACAGCATCGAAATCGACGTGTTTGAATTCGGCAGCTTTGAGCTCGTCGGAAAGTTTTCCCAGGGAATCCTCCGTTTTGAGAATCATCTCACTTGGCTCTTTAACAAGGGCAATGCGGGATCTGGCAGCAAGGTTGTGAAGAATGGATGGCATCGCGGACGGCTTTTGGGGGGCTAGGTTGGTCTTGCGGACGGGTGACTGGTGCGCCCAGTGCTCGTCAAGCTTCGGTCGCTTGGCATCGCTTGGATTCGAATAGATCGGTTTGCGCTGCGCACCCATAGAGGGCTGAGATCCGAAAGGGTTTCCGAAAGCGGAGTCTAAGAAGTTGAAGTTTTTGGACCTATCTTGGGTGCTCATGTTCATTTCATCTTCAGCTTCCTCTTGTTCCAGTTGCTCTTCCTCCGGTTCCGTCTGGTCTCCCTCCTCTTCGTTAAAGTCACTCATTTGTGACGAGGCAAACCCATTAGACTGTCCGAAATTCATTGAATCCCCAAATCCGTCGCCGTCTGGCACACCGAAGCGAAGGCTAGAGTTGGCTGTGGGCTTGAAGGAAGGGGCTTTGGTCTGCTTGGGCATGGCATAATCCGTCGATCCAAAGGATGACCCGAAGATGCTGTCATTTGTGTTGATGTTACCAGATTTGGTAAAGACAGAGTTGGAGAAGTCGTTGTTCGAGAAGGAGTTCTGGTTTGTAGAGAATGCGCTATTGTTTGTGGAGAAGGAGTTGATGCGCGAGCCACCGTTGATGTTGGATGTAGAATGCGGTATGAATGACCCTGCAGTGGACGGCGGCGGGCCAGCAGGCGTTGTTGACAAATTGCTCCAGAGACTCCGAGAGCGATCTTTATCTGGAGTCTCAGGTGGACTGGACTCGTAAGGTACTTGGAACGACATCGCGGGGTGGGGTTGTTCAGAATGAGAAGAGACGGGTTGACGGCATCAGAGGATGCAAGTTTTGGGCCGCAACAGCTCTAATAACTGTTGGATGGAAACAAACGACAATCTCAATCGACAAAGACTGATTCGCCAGGCAGCGAAGAAGGTCAATGCAGTTGATTGTTTGTCGGAGAAGTTCCCTCTTCTCCGGAGTGGCTTGTTTTTCTTGCCCTTCACTTTCCGCTTCGACGCGACGGCGAAAGGTATCAGGCATTCAGGCATGAATATTTAGATCATGTGATGCTACTTGAAAATGAGTCACGTGCTTGTGCTTACTCATTCCACTTTTGAGCCTTGAATATTAGGCCAAATAACGGATGGTCATCACGTGGCGATCGTTCATATACAACATAGAGACGTTTATACTAAGGCGGCTCTTGCACAGAATATGCTTTTTCTACCGCCTTCATATACATCTAGAATGACCCTAATAAAATCAATATCTAAAACGACTCCGCATAAGAAGCCGACTAGTATTCTTGAGGTTATAAATAGAAAAGTCTTCCTAGTATACGGAGTACCTAATCAGGGTGAATACTGAATGGCACGTTAATACTGGGCCAATAGCCTTTCCGCCTGCCTAAACAGTTTTGCCGTCTTTATTGGTCCATTGCCCCGCACTGCCAGGATCGTCAGGCAGGGATCAACAGTTGGGGGCCAAATCTCACACATCTGATTGCATGGGACTCGCAAGGCACACTTAATGACCCCAGCCTTGCAAAGATGGGCTCGTATAATATTGTTCGAAGAGGCTTGAGCCTCTAATCGATCCGAAAATCTACCAAGGCAAGATATATATAACGAACTCACTGGTCCCCAGTTCTTGGGGAAATAATCACAACTACTATACTCTGAATGATACCATTCTCCAGATCATCATGAATCCAGTCGCCCAGTATCTCATCAACCACAACTCCAAGAGCGAGAACTACGATGTCAGCACAACAAACAAAACACACCTTTACCATATCGACAACTCCTCCTTCACAATAGGAAAACCAGACCTAACTTTCCACCACAGCCCTGACTCCAACGGGCCCATTGTGGGGATGTGTAAGTTCCGACACTTCTCCTCGGACTGTGAGATTGGTCTAAGGAACCCGGAACGGCCGAAAGAAATGACTTGGGAGTACCTACACAAAGAAGGCTTTCTCTTTATGAAGCGCGCATATTGGTTCCGTATGGAGCTAGACGATGGCAAAAAGCAAACTTTCACCTGGAAACAAACCCGCTCGCATGGTAGTGGATCCGAAAACCATAAACTAGTTGAGGGGACCAGTCAGACCGTCGTCGCGGTGATTTCTTCTGATGGCATGTTTTCAAAAAAGATTGACTACGGCTACTTGGATATCTACTCGAATCTAGGGCCCCGGTTCTACCTTACGGCTCTTATCTCAGGAATTGCTGTAGTTGAGAGGATCAGACGTGCGAAACCCAGCGCGGCGGGAGGGGGTGCTGGGGGCTCTTCAGGTGCGGGTGGAGGAATTTGTTAGGCCAAGGAAGTCTTATTAATAGTACATAGCCTTGCAGTTCATTTAGCGTTATTTTAGCTATGAGAGATACCCTTAGCGCAACTGTTGCGTTCTCTTCAAATATCTTAAAATTGTTTAAAAATACCGAGTACGACACATGGTACGAAAGCATGAAGTACTTTGTACTTTGTACACAGTAGACCTAACTAACTAGTTATGTTATAGTTAATTAAATGAACGTTAAACTAAAGGCTCGCTCCGAATGCCCAAGAGAATAAATGAGGCAGTGCAAGAGAGACAATGTTTCAGAGAGGACAAGCCTTTTTCGATGGTTTGATCGACAGGGTTCCATGACATAATCCTATACCATCCCCCCGGGGCCCGAGGACCCCCGAACAGATCGAATCTCGAATCCTGTTGCCTACCCTTAAAAAGGTAAAAAGACAACCCTAAATATCGGGAAATAAAGAGCCTCACAATTTTCTTCTCCTTTCTAACTATGAATCAAATAACCTCGTGACTATGGCGCTCCGACGACCACATCGGAAATCTCGTCACGGCTGCGTGGAATGTAAGAGGCGCCGAGTGAAGGTATGAAACAAGACAAAAGGAAAAAAAAAAAAAAAAGGATAGCGCACTCATCCCATCATAGTGCGACGAGTCCCGACCATCCTGCACCAACTGCATCCATCGTCACTCCGAATGTGATTACGGATCGTCAACATCTCTATTGTGGGCAAATGACGGGTCCGAAAGCGGACAGACAGGCGAGCCCGTACCGGGCCTTCGTTTACCCTCAAGTCCAACCACCGGAGCGGTGGCAGCAGAGTCCCTCGGAATCCTGACCCAACTCAGCAGTCAAAGTGCCACAGCCTCAGCCGGGTCCGCACTGAACCTCAACGACCTAGAGCTGATGATGGAGTGGTGCAACACGACCTTCCAGACACTGTCACGCAATGAGCGCACAGATCCAATCTGGCGCACCATCGTGCCCGAAGAGGCCCTCTCGCACCCATTTCTAATGCACGGCATCCTGGCCCTGTCATCGCTGCATCTCGCTCGAACAGGCCCGGAACCCACCCGTCGAGGGTCGTATCTCAACCGTGCCGTCGCGCACCAGAATCAAGCGCTGGCGCTGTTTCGGGAGATGCTGGGTGACGTGAATGAGAGTAATGCCAAGGCCATGTTTGCCTTTGCGGGAATCGTGGCTATCTACACGTTTGGATTCCCGCAGACGCCCGGCCCGCAGGATCCGTGGGATTGCGTCGACAATCTCTACCAGGTTCTTGTTTTGACTCGCGGTGTGCAGCAGGTTATCCATTCCCCGCGGGATTTTACGAGTTTCCTACTGAACAGTTCTTTTGGACCGATTTTGCAGGTTGAGGAGACTCGGGGTCCCATGCCTGAGGACACAATTGCTATGCTCAAACAACTACGTGAGGCGAACAAAGTCTGCGGGGCGCGAGATCCGAATCATGAACTCCAGGTTTACGAAGGGTCAATTGCGAATCTCGAGGAAATGCTCAGCTGGTGCTACGGCGGGATGAGGGCAAATACGATTGCTGGGAGGTGGGCGATCCGCCTGAAGCCTCGGTTTATGGAGTTGCTGCGCGAACGAGACCCCTTGGCGCTAGTTATGCTAGCGCACTACGCGGTGCTCTTGCAATATTTGAAGCATCGCTGGTGTTTCGACGAGTGGTGTGTGAGGGTCTCCACAGCCGTGTGGGCAATATTAGACGATCAGTGGAGGCCGCTGATCCAATGGGCCATGAAAGAGATTCTCGGTGTTAACTTTCTGGAACAGGTTGGCACTTGACATTCTGAAGCATTCTCTTCCTGTTCTATTTATATTCATATTCGTATACCCAAAGTTCAAAGCGCTAAAACCGCAGGAGAAATTCCATAACAAAATCAAAACCAAAAACAATTCGAATCTCCAACCTGAATCTTTCCATAATCATCACAACAAATCCCGATCCTAACCGGTTAAACCGCGTTCGAGCCCTCCGTAACCTTCAACCCACCCATAGCGGTCACGACATGTCCCTTTCCAAGATAATAATTCACCTCGCTAGGGTGGATGACCACGAGAATGACCATCATCACAAACATCAACAATCCATCAAAGACATAAATGAAAACCTCATGCTGCAAGAGATAACCATCTGTGCCCTGGGCATACTCCACGACACGAACGACGGACCGAATGAGAACAAGGACACTGGACAATTGCAACGCCCACATATGCTTGCGCCATGGGTACTGGTCCGCCACCGCACGAGCTTCAGCGTGCGAGCCCAGACGCTTCTGGAAGATAAGCGAAGTAAGCAAGAAGAAGCCGAAGAAGACGATTTGCACGATGAGGCCGCCGATGATAACGTTCTCGCCGGTGCTGGCGGAGGATGAACCGTCGGTGGAGTCTGAGCCTTTGACCATGATTCCCGCACCTGTGAGAGTATATTATCAGCATTGAGATTCAAAAGAGCCAATCGATGCTAAAGCGATCGTGAAGAGGCAGAATGGGAGGAAAACATACCAGAAGCCTGCATCAAGAAACTCAACACATCACCCGCGACAAATATCTTGGTCATCCAGTTAACCCGAATCAGGGCGAACTGCTCTCCTTTGACCATAACAATAATTCGACCCAATTCCATATAGATACTGGCAGCGAACAGTGCCGGTGCAACGAGCAGCAAGGTGCTCTGCATAATATAGGGTCCGGTGGTCCAATCGGGTGATTGTTTCGATGACATGGCGCGGCCGATATATCCAACTAGCTCGACTGGGAGGGGCGTTAGAACTGGAGGTATCTGGGGTTTGTTTGGGTATGCATATACTTACAGTATCCGCCAATCAAGAGCGGGATGAAGAACCATGTTCTCTTACGGAACAGATGGAATGTGTGCATTAAAGTGACAATTGCAAATAAGACGATGAATACTACTGCAGCACCCATTGAAGGGTAGTATTCATAGGCGGTCCAGCCGGAGGGGGAAGACATCTTGGAATGTAGATTTGAGTAGTAGGTAAGAGGCAAGGCTAGGTTGGATTGAATCAAGGACTTGGAAAACCGAAATTAAAGACCATTCTCTCCACTCTTATATATGTTATAATTCAGAATTTTCCCCTAGATCTAAAACGGGGTCCAGGTAACCATTGAAAAAGAACATTCGTGGAGTTATGGAAAGGAGATTTTGCAATTTCGTATACTCGTACCTTCGTAAACTTGTCCCGATGTGGATTAGTGGATACACACTAGTCCAGATAAGGAAAATAGTACGACATACGAGAGTCTAAAATCTTAATTATTTTTATCAAGTGGAGACTTCCGTGGACCATCCAATAGATAAACGTCGCAAAGTGGAGATGTCCACGGCTTATCCCATGGATATCTGTAATCCATCTTCGTATACTTCGTACAAGATAAAGAGGGGCTGGGAATTAGACCAAATCTACAACTTCGCCATCTTCCAATTTTGCAGCACATACCGATATCTCGCCTTCCCCTCATGCATATCAACTAGCGCCTGATTCACATCCACCATATCCCTCTTCTGAATCCAAGGCAAGACTCTCTTCTCCGCAGCCAGAGCCAACATAGCCCGAATATCCCCGGGGGAACCAATATTCGACCCCGTGACCTTAACACCCTTCTGAATAAGACTCCACGCCATAAGCGGCGGCAACGCATCCTCCGGCGCCCCAATCTGCACAAAAGTCCCATCCCGCTTAAGCAACCTCAAATACTGCGCAAAGGGCATATCATGCGCCGAAACCGTACACAAGATAACATCCAGCGAACGCGAGTACGTCTTCGCCCACCCCTTCTCCCCACCCGTTGCAATAAACCCATCAGCCCCAAGCCGAGCAACAGCATCATCCTTCTTCCCCTCCGACCGCGAAATAGCAACAACCCGATCCGCCCCAAGAGCCCTAGCAAATAAAATCCCCAAATGACCCAGCCCGCCAACCCCAACAATCCCCACCGTCTTCCCAGGCCCAACACCGTACTTCCTCATCGGCGCAAAAACAGTAACACCCGCACACAGCAACGGCGCCGCCTCGGCCGACGGAAGAGAATCCGGAATCCGAAAGACGAAATGTCCCGGTCCGCGCCATTTATCCGCAAACCCGCCATACGACTTCGACTTGTCGCTGTACCGTCCGTTGTACGTGCCTGTCATGCGGGCGCAGTAGGATTCCTCGCCGTCGGCGCAGGCTTCGCAGTCTGCGCGTAGACAGGCGTTGCTTTGTGCGCCGACGCCGACGCGATCGCCGAGACGGATTGCGTGAGGGCTGGTGTCGGATTCGATGGTGCTTCCCACACGTGTTACTGTGCCGATTATCTCATGCCCGACTACGCAGGGGTAGTCGGTTGGTCCCCAGCCTGAGCGAAGGGTGTGGATGTCGGTGCCGCAGATTCCGCAGTGGGAAATGGAGATTTCAACGTCGGTTGGTGTGAAGGGCTTGGGGGTGTAAGTTGTGTATGTTAGGGGGCTTTTGGCATCGTGGGCAACCCAGCCTTTGAAGGTGTCTGGTTCTGTGGGAGGGGACATTTTTTGATGCTGATTGCGCCGTGTAGATGTGCCGAGGTAAGTTTTCTTGGGGATAGAGTTGAGTAGTTGGGGATATTTTTGGTAGGTTCCTGGGGTGTAGGATTATAGAACTAGAGATTAAATGGTTATGAGGTTGAAGGTAAATGCACGAATCAAGCTCGGCATATGATGCGGAGAAGCCGCAGGCAAAGTTACCGAGGTCCATCTTAACTCCGGAATAGGCATACATTATTAGATTCATGTCGATCGTACACGATTTTGAAAAGGGACTCCATATTTACATGCACTCGCTCCAAGTATGTATGTACAGTGTAGACTAGTGGGGGTATCAATTGATCTTTCACCGGGCCACGCCCATCAGATCGTCAAGCTCATCAGTGGTGAGAGTACTCCGACGCCGATTTGCTGGTCTGGAAGCTTTCTCGGGTCGGCTTCTCTTTCGTGATTCGCGCTCCTTTTGCTCATTCTGAGCGGCACGGGCCTCGTCTTCGACGGCGGCCAATTTTTGGTGCACGCTTAGTGATTCGTTGGGGTTGAGCTGTAGGGCGAATTAGTCCTGGGAATATCTGGGGCAGTCTCCTGGGAAATCATTCTCGTTGCATACCTGTTGGGGTTCCTTGGTTTCGGTCTTTCGCCTGGTTGGTCTGCGGGTCACAGTGTCGACTTTGTAGGCTTTGATTTTAAGGGTATCGTCGTCGGTAGTGTCCACACATGGTGAGCCTTGTAAACCTGGCGTGAACGAGACCTTCCGGGGACGCTTTGTCATAGTGTTCTCACTGCGTTCTCTCAGAATACGATCGGGTCTCTCGGGTACTTTGCGAATTTTGGACCTCATCTTCGGGGGATTAAGCATCTCCGGGTCTGGCGCTTTCTCCTCCGGTTCACTTATACTTTCCTCCTCATCTTGGTCTTCCAGGATTGTCGGGATGGGATTGGACTCTGGCAAGCTTTGCATGCTCATGTCCTCGGTTGAGTTAATGCTGAGATCGAGATTCATGCCGCGCTTCAACTCATCCGCTTGGACAGAATCTCCTCCATCTGCAAGACGACGCTGCCACCCACCCATCATGGTGACTGCCTGCTTCCACCGGGATTCCATCTTCACCCAGCCTTCTCGCAGTCGTTTAATCTCTTCATCTCTCATCTCAACCTCTTCAAGAGGCACGAATGAGGGGTTGGTAAGCAGTGTGCGTAGATGCTCTAGCACACCTTCCATATGAACGGATAGTTCTTCACACGAGGTTGGAAGCGAAGTAACAGGTCCCGCAGAAGCCTTCTGAGCTCCTACGCTCATAGCCATACCCGACTGCTCATTCTCGCCATTCCCATTCTCAGCCTGCGTCAAGCCCTGTAGATCTTTCAAAGTATGAACAGTGCTTCGCGCAAGCTCAATCAGGGTATCATTCTCATCACTGAGATGCTGGCATAACTCGGTCAAGAAGTCGGTGGTCTCCTGCTTCAAGCTATATCCAGGGTCATTTACTCGTTCTCCGCCGCTAGCCAGAAGACGCGATCGATCTGAGGCAGGGTTGATGTTGATGGTAGTTACACTCAGACCCTCGCGCTTGCCTCGTTGTCGCTCAGCCAGATGCGACTTGAGCTTCTGCATTTCCAGATCTCGCTTGCGGATATCATTGGCGCATTGTGCTCGGACTTGTTGGACGGTACTCTTCATGCGCTGGACTTGCTCCTTGAAACTTCGGATGTTCGCTTCGGCGGTAGACATGTTGGACTTGAGCGTTCGCGTTTGCGCCTCCGCCAGAGCGAGCGAGCGAGTCAACTCGGATGTTTTCGTTTTCAGTTTTCCCTGCACAAACAGTCAAGGTTAGCTCGCTGTGCAACATAAGTAGAGTGAAGACATACGATCTCCGTGGTCTGTTCCACCTCGCTGGCTTGCAGCGTGCGAATAGTCGTAGATAAGCTCTCGCGGTGTTCGGACTCGCGCTAGAATTTGTTAGTCACTGGTCAGGTCGTATCTCAGTGCAGCAGGGCACACACGTCTCGCCTCAACACTAAATCGTTGACCAAGTTGATCACACGAGCCATGGTGCCGTCTGTCCCTCCATCTTCATTTTCTGGGTCGGCAAAATCGATAGCGCGACCACCTTTCAGCAAGCCCCTTGCCAGTAATATGTTGTTAACATAGGTCGAAGCCGCCTGCAGGTTATGCGACTCCATGGCAGCGATCACTTCTATTGTCGACGCAGATAGCTCCGAATGCCGAATGGGGAAGAAAGTAAACACGTCGGTGCGGGGATCCTTTCGTGCCAAGTGTGCAGTTCTATAGGCGGTGAGATAAGGAATTGCTATTCTGCTCATTTGATTGCGGAATTGTATCGCGATGCATCAATTAGTTAGGCTGCGATGCATCAATTAGGCTGATATGTTCAAAGATTTCCATAAAGAGGTATTTAAATTGGACGTAACAAGTTTTTAGAAAATTAGAAGAGGCAACTCACAATCCAGAAGCAATTGAATGATATCCTAATAGTAACATAGTGCGTCGTCATGTGAATAATGCGTGGGCATAAGTCATCAGCCAACCCCCATGTCTTATTTGTCCCTTGCGTGGCATTAAACCTCTCCCTCCTACCCCACTACTTAATTCTCACCAACCGCCTTCGCATCTGCTCTTCAACATGGCTTCAAGACCAAGTACGCGTATAGTACGCGGAGTAACATCCAAAAAGAAGGCCGACATAGAGCAGGCTGCTGCTCTTCAGCGATCAGGCCAAAATGCTTACAAAGTTGGGGATCTTCAAGGCGCCATTGAGTCCTTCACCCAGGTACGCCCGCCCCCATCTTGTTTGTTCCGTCGCGCCTCATACTAATCATCCGTACATCTAGGCATTAGGGGCAAACAATGAGGACACTGGAATCCTGGATAATCGCGCGGCCACGTATTGCAAGCTGAAACAGTACAGCCAGGCCCGCGCTGATGCGAGAGCTATGGTCAAGCTTGCACCTAATGATGACCGTGTAATTTATCCGCCTCGGTGCTTACTTCTCAATTGTGGGTTTATAGCTGACTTTGGAAAAGGGATATATGCGCTTGGCCAAAGTCCTATGCTTGGATGGGAACTTTGACAAGGCCCGAGACATCTACGAATATGCCCTCCAAAAACTTCCAGCTGATCACCAAGGCCGTGAGGTATGTTTCTCTTTCTTTGCTTTCAGTTCTGTTCACTCGTCAATGTGGTATTTATCCTGTTATATTTCTTTTCCAATACTAACCATCTCCAGGTTCTCGAGCAGCTACTCAAGAAACTACAGGATAAGCTAGCAGGAGGAAACCGACGCGACCCATTTACGATCCTACCACTAGAGATCGCAGAACTCACGCTTCGGCATTTCTCCTTCAAGCAGATCGTGTAAGTGTCCATTCTCACCTCCGAGACCCACTAGCTCACAACATCATATAGGGCAATCCTGCGCGTCTGCAAAGGATGGAACCAATTTTTAGGCCGTCTGGCTAGCCTCTGGATGCATGTCGACCTCACCGGAGCTAGATCCCGTGTACCTTGGACATCTGTCCGAAATTACATCCATCGATCGCGGGCGCAACTGACCAATGCCACCATTACAAATCTCGTGTCCTCTAACACGCCTAAGGTACTCGACATGCTGAGCAGATGTCCCCAACTAGAGCACCTAGAATTCATGGTTCTCCATGACCATCCTAAAGAATTCTACCGGAAGATCAAAGATTTTCGACGTTTGAAGAGTCTCGTCTGTGGAGCAGACATCAACCTTTCGCATGCGTGTGTTGGAAGTATTTTATCTACCCTCTCGAAACTTGAGAAAGCTGCTTTTCTACGTGTGTGGGACAACCCTACCTTCCCCCATCCACGTCGACATGGCCTGAACATCTCCCAAATATGAAGAGTCTAACTATTGCATCTTCACAAGAACCTCCTGCCTTCTGGGATGTACTTCCAGGGTTGGGGTCGGTAAGCTTTCTCTGGACCTGATATCTCGGACTTGCGCTAACACAACCCAGTCTGTATATCCCAATCTAGAGGAGCTGAGGCTGGTTTGGGATCCTGCGCTACCACAATCATACTCATTTGATCCGGTGCGACAGGAGGGACATCTTCCCCCGCTCCGCATACTAGATCTTCGGGGCGCGGCTGTCCGACATAATTTCTATTCAATCCTTCCAACCAGCCTTGAGACCCTACGGTTGTTCTCGGGGTCCATCCGGATTGGTGGAAATATGACGCCGGGAGAGAACGAACTCCCAAACCTGAAGACATTGATATTCAATGATACCCCATGGGTCAACCGCGCCACACTTTCCCTATTCCTACTCCATTCCAAGGCTCCCCTCCGAACCCTTCATGTGAACCTTTGCTACAACATCAACAGCGAGGACTTTATTAACATTCTTAACGATCCCGACGGAGCGAATCCAGAATTGAAAAAATTAACTGACGTCGGGGTTGCTTGTATGCTTGGCATGGACGATTGGAGCGTCAGAAATCTGTCGGCAGTATTGCCAAACCTGAAAATCCTTGACTTGTCGCAGACGAGAATTACCGGCTGTACCATTCGCATGTTTGCAGATGCCCGAAATGATGAATCAGCCGTGGAAAAGCTCGACGGCTTAATCATAAAAGGATGTGACGGTGTGTCTCGTGATGCTGTTGACTATGGGCGGCAAATGGGACTCAAGATTGTCACCTAGGGGTTGGCAACATTTGGTGATAATACACAATGGGATAGGGCATCATCCTTGTACAATACAATGACCAAGACTTGGATTGAAATGATGTATGATATTGTGATGAAATTGATCTGGAAACTTCCTTGTTCATCCATATCATTGATCATATCGTAGCCTCACGGGTTAATAGTCTGCCTCGGTAAAGAAAATGCGGCCAAGAACTATCTAGCACAGACCCTTGCATAGGCATCAGCTGATAGAAAACACAGAAGTCAAATTCTTCGAGTTTGCTACCCAAGAATTACAGTTCTACAATTGAGATTTCGTACTGAGTCTGGGCCTAGCAGTGAAACATCGGCTTGAATCGGTAAATAGAAAAGATAACGGCGGATACCGACAGTTACACACGAGAATAGAAGATTAATACGGTCTCACAGTCTCAAGCGATACATTAATAAAGCGAGAACCAAGCAAAAACCACCTAGGCAGCTACCTAAACTCCCCGTTCCTGACACCACCGCTCAACCTCTTTAGCCAATTTCTCCTTTTGATCACGCACAAGCTCCATCATAGGCTCAACCTGCTTTCTGTGCGATGCAATAAGATCCTCATTACCGTTGACAATAGCAACACCATCCTTCGGCGCAAGATTATCATCATAGATTTTGACCATGAGCTCCATAACAGCGGAGAGCTGATTGGGAAGCCACTAGAACACCAAAAAGAATCAGCATATTTGACACTCACACAGCAGATAAACGGGACTTGAACTTACGGTTACAATGGGACTACCACCAGTAGCAGTAGGATGCGGCGTGCGACGAATGATGTACTCACGCGCGAACAGCCAGTGTCGCCAGCGGAAACTGCGGATGTGGTTCAGGGTGCGCAGGAAGAGGACTGCGGTCTCAGAGTCTTGGATGGCGTATTTCTGGACGCCGATTTCTTCAGACTTTTCGCGGATGTAGGTTAGGAATTCGCGATGGGGAAGGGGGCGATAGGCGCGGAATTCGTGGAGGATCTTAGTGAGGGGTGTTTCCGGCATGGGGATTTCGCAGAGGTGGTCTAGGAGGGGGATCTGGGGGTTGGTTAGTTGGAACTGATTGCTTATTTCTTTTGGTAATGTTTGGTTGCTTACGATGCTGTCGTTGGCACCGCTCTCGCCACGGAAATTGAGGGGCTTGTTGTCTTCGCAGCCTTCGTAAACCACGCCATCCGGGAACATGGATTGGTTGGTGATGCCGAAGATGAAGACGCGGAATGATAGGTACTCTGATGGCTTGGAATTGCCCCACATGTCTATTTGATGTCAGTTTAGAAGATCTAGAGGATGGGATTATTGGGGTGGTTAAGGTTGCATACCTTCCATGGATGCTTCGATTTTCTCCATCGACTTCAGGATCTCCCGGAATCCGTCGTTGATTTCCTGTCGAGAGGCATGCTGTTCAAGGGAATCAACGATTTTCAAGACACCTCCGACGAGCGGGCCGGTCTCCTTGACCATGTCGACGTGAGTCAGGATGAAACCTGCCTCAGAGCTCTTAGGGTCGAGACCTTTCTCGAATGAGCGAATCAGACGAAGGTTGGAGTACTCGCTCAGACCCTTGGCAGGGTCGGCGACGGTGTAGTTGAACAAGGCATATGAAGCAGCATATGACATGAAAGGTGGTAGGTTCAGGCTGAAGATAGTTGTTAGTTATATTGATGTTATATGATAAAGATATGTATCAATATGGTCTGTAAGATGGGAAGTAACAAAGGATAAGAATACTTACATCTCAGCACACCGATACATAGGACGAGCAACGGACTGGGGCAGGACATCACGACCAAGTCCATAGCCACCTTCCGGGTCATTGTTCCAGTGCTCCCAGCAAGGCTCGAGCAGGTATGACGAGGCCAGGAAGGTATAGTCACGGAAGACTGCAGCAATAGTGAAGCGATCATACGAGCCATCAGCGAGGACCAGCTTCTCGACCTCGTCAGTCAGGTCGGTAAGCTCAGCCTTGACAGCAGGGCCAAGCTCATAGGTAGCCAACAGACCGGGCTTGCCATCGAGCTTGACGACAGGGAGACGATTGACGAGAGACAGCAGGGCACTGAAGGCCTCTGGCAGCTCGACAGGGGCAGTCTCATAGGGCAAGAAACCTGTCTTGGTGGTGATGGTGAAGGGGTCTAAGGAGTGGGAGATGGATGAAGGGTCATCATGGATGTGAGGGAACCGCTTCAAGGTAGTAGGGGAAGGGTAGGGCACTTGGGTTCGAGTCATGATGATATGAGATGAACCAAGAAAAGAAAAGACTCTAAGCCTATGATATGTAGTGTTGGGGTAGTAAGAGAAGAGTGTAGATGAATAAGCCAAAGGCTAAAGACCAAGTCAAGAGCCTAGGGAGTAGGGAAAATGGGTAAAAAAAGGCGAGGAAGAAGCCAGGAGACTCAGAGAGATGAAAAGAGACTTGGAATTCTGAGATTTTGGGCGGGTGAGGAGCAGATTCTTATAATACTTTGAGGCCGGTAACAATTCCGGCCTCAAGTCCACATTACGAAAGAGAATGGAAAATAGCGTGGATCCTGCAATATCCGATGATAAATCGTGGAAATTGGTTTTGTCTATTCTAGTTGAGACTCGAGGCACTTTATATGAGTATATTCAGCCAAAATAAGATATTTTGCCATCCATCTCGATGTCTATATGATCTATACAACTGCCCAGTAAGAGAGGGCAGAGGACGGTCACGGGATGACGCTAGTCCCAATGAAGTACGGGGTTTGAAAGGCGGTTTGACTGCTTTACCTGGGATTCGATGAAAAATTGTGGTGGCGTATGCTCAACCAAGTGTTTAAAATGCTTATAACGAAGAAATTGGCCATTCAATGGTGATCTATTACGGATAAATGGTCAATGTTGTCTACTCAAGTTATGATGTATGCTCGATAGTCCATGCGCTGCCAAGCATTGATGACCAGATCCCGCCCTTTGATTGGACGATAAGCACAAATTTAACTTCCCTAGCGTTCGGAGGCCGGAATGCTACCGGCCTCCGATAGTAGCCGGCCTCGTGTTATATGTCCTAGGCAGGTTGGATATATAATATATGACCCTTATAGGGTATAACTTAGCTGATAGCTTGGATGATTCCCTAGATAAAGTGAAGATTGACCTATGAACAGTTTTATATCTTTAAAGCTCTTGATGTTTTGCCATTCAGCAAACTTGGACTCGCACTTGGTACATCCTCAGTTATATATTGGAAGTGAACAAAAGAACCTATAGTACATTTGCATCCCAAAAGTACTTAATCTATTCAACCACTCCTCTGTGTGTCATATATACAATTTAATGCAAAGAAGAAAAAAAATAGTAGAGATGAAAATAGAAAGATAGGAAAATCACAGACAATATGCAAAAATGCAGTCAAGGTAAATGTCTTTCATGGTTTGATAATCTCACAATCCATCGTCCCTTCCATACAGTTTTCATGCAAAAACACGCTCAGTCCTATTCACTACCAAAGTTCGAGAATTGTGATAAAAAGTCCGGTGCAACTGCGGCAAAAAATACTCTAAGACTGCATCCCCAACACTAGCAGGTAGCGAGCTCTTGTCACCCCAATAGTGCCTCACCAACCCCCCAGCACACCCGGTAGCTGCGACCTCAGGGCATCCATTTGCCTCTGCACAAGACAAGACACGAATGTCATCCGACCTGTTGAAGTCATACCTAACATAATTTCCAAATGCGGACTGCTCATGTGGCCATTCCCTACCCCACCTCACGCACTCTGGATAGCGCGTTCCGTTGGGACAATTCTCCCACGCCTCAAAGAGTTCATGGGTACGAGGGCTCTGCTGGGCAATAATAAAGCCCGTGTTGAGAAATGTGCGGTTATTCCAATCACGGTTGTGGGGTGTGTCTGGGTCAAGAGCCATGGCAATTAGAGTCTCCGGAGTGATCTCCCAGTAGTTGAATAGCCATTCCATGGGTAGATTGGGGTAGGGAATCATGGAATCTGCATCTATGAATACAACGTATTCGTAGTGTTTCAACGCTTCCCTGATCGCAGTGACCTTGGTCCATGTTGCAGATCGATCGACTGTCTGGGGGATTTGAACGAGTCGGTAGTCGTAGCCGTGAATCATTGCTACGCTTGTAAGTCAAAGTAAAAACAGATAGAAGTGGGACTACTCACCAAACATGAAGTGATTGAGTCTTCCACTGGTATCTGGGGGAAGTTCGGTCGCGTTCAATGGAGCCTTGCTCAAAATACCCTTCGGGCCATCAAGATGGCGGCTGTCGACGTCCAGAATGAGAATCTTCTTGCCTAAGGGTTCGGTGAATCTCAATGGCTCCGCAAGCCAGAACCTTTTCCCTGTGCGGTCGACAAATATGGTTTTAGTAATGGGATGTATATAGGGATTGTATAGTTTGTTGACAGTGGATGAGTACGGGGAGCTTTTGATGGCCCATTGAATGTGTTTCCTATACCAAAGTCAGTGTTCAATTTCAAGCATTTGCTTCGGGGAACTCATACAGAGATGGTTGATTAGTCCATACACCGTTTAAGCAGGAGTAGGCCCAGAAGAGCACACACGCTATCAAACTCGAAGTGAAGATAGCGGTGACCCGGCGATAAAACATGATTCCTGACCTTGGATGGCGCATAGAGATGGTGTATTCATGTAAAATAGAGATCCAATGTGCAGATCTGGCATAGATAGGTGTCGATTGACATGACATAATGTTGATGAAGTATGGAATACCTACCAGATTTCCTCTGCCCTTCCATTTGAGTGCTCACCTCCTGCCGCTTTTTGCTCCGGAGAACTAACACGCCTTCATTTACTTCTAGTTTCAGTTCATTCCAAGCCTATATTATGTAGTGCGCCATTGACTAAAAAGCTATCCGAATGGATTTCTGGATGCAGAACCAATCAGGCCTCGGTCATTGCGATGGATCATCACGAGCGCCAGCTTCAAAGCTATTGGTATGACTCTCAAAGGAGACCCCTTTACCAACTGATCGATTACACAGCTTTGAGATGATATTGCTCACATGGTTTTCAACACCAAGTTTTTCGTAAGTTGTCAACTCGTCTTCAGAATGTAGAATGCCTAATGACTTGCAAGGGCTGAGAGGGTAAAATAACAAGAAAACTCGCTTAAATCGTTCTAGATTTTGAAATATTTCATCTAACGAATGTTGCCTCCCATACTGAGCAAGGCCTACTCTATCCCGATCAATGCATTAAGATCCTGGAGCAGTTGCTGTACCAGCTCCATATTGTCTGATTTCTCACGTAATGCGTTCTTGAGTGCACTGACTGCCTCCTTGGTGCTTCCGGACACTGCCTCCCCAGACTGCATTTTCTTCTCCGTAGACTTGAGACTTTCCTTCGCACTTCGCATCTGCGACCAGTACACTGTAGACTTGTTGAGATATCCAGTTTCAGCAAGAGGTAAACTCCACTCATGAGGAGTCGTCTCGACGATATCCAACCATTTAGCCATGTGCGGCCATCGGCGCTCCTCCAGGCCTGGGAAGTGCACGAGCAGATCTCCCCTTTTGCCTTCATACGCCCAGTCCCATTCATAGGTGTTGATCCAAGGCCGTGGCAGGTAGGAGACTCCATCCGCGTAACCCTGTCCCTTTGGACCCCCGGTCGTCTTGCTGAGCACACGTCTCATGCCTTCCTGGTCGGCAGATCGACCGAGGTCATTCTGAGGGAGATAAAGGGGGTATCCCATTGTTTCGGTAAGGAAACTTATCATCCAAGGATGGACATGGAGGAACATGATTCCTGTGTTGAGGCCATTTTGGTCCTGGGTTGCCACCAGGTGTATATCTTTCAGGTCTGATGGCGGAAGGAAGACCTCAACGGGGATGTCGTTGTTGAGTATAATCGAGTCTGCGTCTACCCACCTACAATAATCAGTATTTCTCAAGCATATCATATACACAGGAAAAAAAACTTACATCAACCATTCCATTCGCTCGCCGGCTGGCTTGGTCAATTCATTGATCACCAAAGATAGCAGATAGCTCGGTTTATTCCAGAACCCGACCGCGATATCCTGTCGTAAGATATGCATGGGGTAGCCCCATTGCTTCCCGTGGCGTTCATGGCTCTGCAGCGCTCTTTCGTACATATGGTTCGTCTCTCCGTATAACATGGACACTTTGGCGACTCTTTGCAACTTATTGCTGGGAGTATCATCTGACTGGGGGATATAAAACGTCTTGTAGGACCTGATTGAGACCCAAAAAACACATATAACTGATAGAACTACCAAGATGATGTTCAAGGGTCGTTGTTTGAGTGCCATTTGGTGTTGAATAATTGCCGGTATCACCGTGCAAGTGCCAGGCTTTTCATGGTAGATGAGAAGAAGAACAATAATTCTTGCTTGAGATAGATCAGACCATTGATAGCTTTAGAGTTCAAGTGTCTGATTCGAGGCTCGTGAGTTGTATGAATCCGTACTTCCGGATTGGGAATACCGTTTTCGGCAACTCAGCCAGATCCAATCAATACGAACAAAGTCCAAGTAAGTAGATTTATAAATAGATATTAGTTCAATAATTGTAAGCAAAAGCTCATTTGGTCTAGAACCCAAGAAAAGGTGTGTGGTGTACGGGTACGGGCCCACTGCCCACATGGCGCGAATGAAACTCGCCACGGTGGTGTCCAGGAACACCTTCGGTGGGTGTTTAGAGTAGATTGATGATAAGAAGGAATGTCACCAGATCTCTAAAGAAACATCCCCACGACTAATAGCGACACCTAATATACTATCACACAAGAGCATTTAACCACCCACACCACATGACCCCATAGTGTATTACAGACCAAAAAGTTATAACAGAATGTCCGATTATTGTCACCGCACTGCTGTGTATAATATAGGTCTTAAGCTTATTTTGGGATCACAGAGTAACCCGGATTACCTGGAAACTACAGCATTTGGGTATAAGATACCAGTTAAATAGTACCTAAACTGGCAGAGACGATTTTCATTTCATATGGTACAGATGAGGTATAGTATACACCACTGGTTTCAAATATTTGTACAGCATCACATATGCAAACAACTTTAACTCCTTGTTCCCATGCATCAGCGGCCTGGCCGCCATTGAATTCATTGGTATAGCCAGAACGCATCCAGACCGAATCGCGAACTGGATCGCGCAAAAGAACGTAGCTCGATATCCACAGGCGGACACACGCATTATGACCCCGGACTCGTGTTTTGATTGGTTGTATTTGAGTCGCCGGTGGTGCTATGTACCGTCTGGAGCTTGAGGTACTCCTGCTCGAGGGCCTTTTGGATTTCAAAGTCGGCCTGGCGTTCTAGTCGGACACGCTGCTTTTCCATATCACGTTCAACTCCTTTGTGCATAGCCTAACATTCAAAAAAGTAAGTATATGCCAGAAATAGAGAGTCGAATCTGCAACATACCGCTCTATCCGCCTCTTGTGCCCAGTGGACAAATCCGATAATACCCATTGTGCCAAGGCCAGTGGCTGCGAATGTGAGTTTTGATGCGCGAGACATGGCAGGATAAGCGAGAGCACGGCTCGACACAGAGGTTCAGCAAATAATGGTCACAAACAATGTTCTGGTGTGTTAGCTGTTCATCAAAACGAGGCCGGGATTATCGATCACCAGGCGGCGTTTGGTGGCAGAACCCCCACCGCTCTGGGGGGGCGATGCGTGGCTCCGATCGACCTAGACTCGGAGCTCCAGACTCGCCGTTTAATCGTCCCTGTCCAGCCTTATTTCCCCTTTACCCTATTTTCAAAGCTCAGAGGTCTCTAGTAAATATGGTGAGCAGTCTATCTCGGAATTGGTGGCCAGTCGCTAACGGTGAACAACAGTCGGCTCAGAACTCCGCGGGCATTCAGACCCTACTCGATGTAGGTCCCGGTTGTATGTTGACTGCAGCGTGGAGATACTAATCACAGAACTGCCAGGCCGAGAGAGAGGCTCAGAAGATTGTGCAGAAATGTGAGTCCAACTATGTGTACCCCTCATCGCTGCCTATCACAGACACTAATACGTCACATCACATTTAGCCAGAGAGTGTACGCAATACAAACTTACCTGTCGCCATTCGCATCATTGAACTAATTGTTTCGTAACAATACAGACCGTACCCAGCGGATAAGAGACGCCAAGTCAGAAGCCCAGAAGGAGATCGAGGAATACAAGAACCAGAAGGAAGAGGAGTACAAGAAGTTCGAGGGCGAGGTGAGATACAGCTTCTAACCGGCGGTTATAACTAGGGGGTCCACAGTGCTAACCTGGCTGTTTTGTTAGCACTCAAGCGGATACAAGGTATCCGAGGCGGAGGCCGACAAGGAAGCCGAGGTCAAGCTCCAGGAGATCAAGGATGCCGGCAAGAAGCAGGGCGAGAAGGTGATCGCAGACCTCATTCGTGTGACGACCGACGTCAAGCCCGTGGCGTCTGAGAAGATCAAGGCATAATGTAGATATTCCGGGTTATCTTTCCTTTCCTCGCGTGAATGCGCTTGCGTGTCTGTTCATCGATATCCAATTTTCGGACAATATCAGTTTCTTTTTCGTTTAACCCTGTGTATATGATATGGATGGAGTCTGTATCTCACTAATGTTGGAATACGCATGTCGTATTCATCCCATGGTGTTCCCAAACATCTGGCTTGAATCTAAACTTTTCGATCTACGGCCAGTCTGAGTACTGACCACCACAACACAGTTATTTGTCCTTGTTGACCCAGACTACTCTTAAGCCCTTGTGGGGGACTATGCTTTGGTGAACTTCAAATACATCACCAATCCACCAATCCAGACAACACGGCCCTGGTACCTGTGGTTGTTCTTACTCGGTACCAGGTGATGGCAAGGAGAGGCGCAGGATGATTCAATGCGCTATATGAACCCCGAGGCACGTGTCAGTACTCGTTCCCATTGAATGGGCAACGAGTCACTGTTGGCAACACATGCTGGCGCCAGTGTCTATTAGTAGATCTTGGGATGATTGATTGTCGTTTCGAATTATTTCCCCGTATAAAAGACACTCGTTATGATGAATCGACTTTCAGCTGAGTAAACAATTCTTTCCCCTTTTGCATAGGTTACGCTCTTGGTGGAATAATCAACAGAAGTATAGTCCATGTTGGCCTGAGGCACCAAACATGTTTCCCGTTGCGTCATTCCGCGCCAGGTCTCGTTCGACAACCTATCTGCGGACGACGCAGAACAATGAAATATGCAATTCTTACGCGGAATACACTAAAGCGGTCTTCAATAGCCTGCTACTCATACGGCCAGGTTGTATGCCACTCTAACAACAGGTGGTATCACGGGTCTCCATGCAGACACAGACCAAGTCTCGAACCGCGATTAGAGGACCATGGCAAAGTAATTGTCGATGAGTACTCAATCATCCGTGATAAATATGGTTTGTTACTTTAGACTTGAATGGTATGGGCAATTGCTGACTCGTGATTAGCTGCACCAAAATACCCTGTCGTTCTGGCCCATGGCTTGCTCGGGTTTTCTGAACTCCGCCTTGCTGGTCCATATCTCCCCGGTGTTCAGTACTGGCGTGGAATCAAAGAGGCCCTGACGGCGCGAGGTATCGAAGTTATCACGGCAACAGTGCCTCCATCTGGCTCCATTGAGGCGCGGGCGGAGCAATTGGCCCAAAATATCGAGGCTGGGGCTCGAGGAAAAGATGTTAATATTATTGCGTATGATGCCACCATGTACTGGTTACATATTTGACATGTTCTGACTGATTTCTGTATAGGCATAGCATGGTGGGATACCTTAATCATTGCGATAAAGTTAATGCTTACCTGTGATTAGGGGTGAGACATAACAAGAGGATCATACTATACAGCGCAAGCTAATTAATGACTTGCAAAGTGGTCTTGATTCACGATATATGATTAGCCACATACGACCGGAGAAGTTCAAAGTCTTGTCACTGACCACTATCGCATCCCCGCATCGAGGTCTGGTCCATCATAGCTTTCATTCGCCTTCCTGCTAATTGTCTATTAGGCTCATCTGTAGCGGACTATGTGATTGATCAAATTGGAGGTTCGTCACTATTTACTCACTCACTGGGACGACTTAGAAGATAACATTGATTTCTGTGCAGCCGATCGCCTACCTCAGATCTATTATGCCCTTAATCGACTAAGTGTCGAGACAGGTGCATTCGCTCAACTAACACGGAAATACATGACTGAGACCTTCAACCCCAATACCCCAGATGTGGATGATGTCAGGTACGTGCCACATATTCTCCCCACCTTACGCCCTGCCAACATTTCCTAGATATTTCTCCTATGGAGCAGCAGTGGAGCCAAGTATATGGTCTGCCTTTCGGCTTTCACACCGAGTACTTGCGGAGATTGAAGGACCCAATGATGGCCTAGTCAGCGTGTCTAGTAGCCGCTGGGGAGGCGATGCAGGCTACAAAGGAACCTTGAAGGGCGTGAGCCATCTAGACCTAATCAACTGGACCAACCGCCTTAAGTGGCTAGTCGGAGAAGTAACAGGCAACAAACGGAAGTTAGTTGATTGCAGATTATATTTTGGGAATCATGCTGATCTTTATGCAGGTTTAACGCCATTGCATTTTACTTGGATATTGCAGGTATGTGTTACGGTCTGATTGGGTCACTCGAGACTAATAAGCTGCCTGTTCACTAGACATGTTGGCCAAAGAGGGACTGTAAGAAAGATATAATTGGATTTCCATCAGCCCTGTTGTGGCTGGATTCGGATTTGATATGGGGAAATTCTGGTGCCTGGAGATGGAAACCGAACACTTTTCTTCCTCTTTCTTGCCTATTTACTTATGTATAAACATATTATTGTATGAAATCAATCTAGTGAACCTGTCAATTAGTAAAATAGACAATTGCATTTCGAAATAATGTATTTACCCAGATATGTAGCTGTAAAAGCATGTACAAACACAACCGTTGAAGTTATAGCGGGTACTAGCGGAATTAAGGCCTTTGTCTTAGAAATGTGGCTATGACATGATTGAGGCGCAGCATATTAAGTCTAACCTAGACCTCGAGCCTCTAAAGCTGCAAAAGTCCCTGATTATGCTAGAGACTTGTGGCAGTTGTACATTGCTTGGCAGTCAGTTGATCCCATGAACGCTTGAAACGTCATTCCGAGATCCTTCACATATAATCCGCATTTCCCCCTCTCATCTCACAGCCCCACGCCTCGCGCTGAGATTGCCTTACTTGCATCTTCCAACGGCTTGATACTTGTCGCATTATATTCTAGCGACCCTTTCCCCCCCATTTGACTCCTTCGAACGCCGGCACCAACCGAAGAGAGAGCCCCGCCAGGGCCCCGGGCGCCCGCCGCCATGTCCGCAAATATCGTCTTGGACAGCCGCCACACCCATTATACAAATCTAGACTTCCTCAAGGGCAAAGTTGTGCTACAGTTACCGACGGAAGCAGCCATTGGGGCCATTCAGGTCAAACTGGAGTGTGAGAGTCGCACTCGTCTATCCGGTCCCAGGAACCCCCAAAATGTGCACTCAGACAAAAAGCGAACGGAGATTGAGGTCCACAAGGTGAGAGGATGTGGTTTATCGTACTTATTGGCGAGATAAAATATCGACTGGGGCATTGGTTAACCAACGAATGCAGATATTGTACAAGGTTGCTACCGTCTTCCCGACACCGGGTGTGATGCAGAATGAGTCCCCTGCGCCTACATATACCTTTGCCGCAGGATCATATGAGTACCCTTTCGAATTCAAGGTAAAGGATCTTTTCTATGACAATTAGAAACACCTTTAACGCTTCGCTAGTTCCCCTTCAATAATTCATGCAGCACCACCAACAGCATGCTCACCAATCTGAGCTTCTCCGGGTTGAAAGTTGAGGTAGCTAAAGACACAAATCGACATGTCAGAAAGACTCTCCCGCCATCTTTAAGCGGGTTCCCGGGTGTAGCAGATATCAAATACTTCGTCAAGGCAACGGTCATCCGGCCGCAGTTCTACAAAGAAAATATCAGATCGGTAAGTGATATGCTCAGATAATTCGCCATTATCACACTTGCTAATTGGCTTCGCAGATTGTGCCTCTTAATTTCCTTCCAATTGAGCCACCAAGAGTCGGGAATCCCAATGAGGAAACCTACGCCAGACGACAACACCAATTCTCCAAACCCCAGATGGCATCTAAAAAAAAGACTATCTTCTCGCGGGGATCTTCTTCTACACCCCGAGAGTCAAATCCACAGCCTCCACGGGTGTCTGTGGATGCTCGACTTCCCAACCCGTCTATTCTCACTTGCAACGAACCTGTCCCCCTCCGTCTCCTTGCCAGAAGGCTGAGCGAGGGACGGGACGCAATCTTCCTTCAGATGTTACAGGTGGAACTAATATCCTATACGAAAATTTTAGCCCATGACCTCAACCGCACTGAAATTACCTCATGGGTTATCATGAGCCGCAGCAATCTGGGTATCCCGTTAGGCAAACCAGAGGACCCCGTAGGCACTGATTGGACCATTGACCCAACCCTGTGGAATCGGTATCCCTTGCCCAACTCGGTGGCACCGTCCTTTGAGACATGTAACATTGAAAGGTCTTACGAGCTGGAAATTCGAGTAGGCTTGACCCATGGATTCCAGGTATGTTGAATCACCAACCCCTAGAGATGTCTCTTGGCTGACTATGGCATAGCCTCAACTTATTGTTCTGCCCCTGCGAATGCCAGTCAGAGTATTCTCGGGAATCGCTCCACCACAAGCTCTCCTGGATGCAATGGCCGCTGCATCACTTCAACCATCATCATCGCCCTCTAAACAGCAAACCCGGCCCAGCTTGCCAACAGAGGTAGGAAGCAGCCGACCACCCATGCCACCACGGCCAACCGGCGAGCCTGTACCCATCAATTCCGGAGATGTAAATGACGACGCACCACCCAGTTACGAGGATGCCATGGGAGACCACCTGAGTCCAGTGGATGGACCACGCCGCGAGTATCACCCACCAGACGCCTCATCACAACGCACAGTAGAATCTGGAACTGATTCCAAGTCCGCAGCCCAACCGGGTAAGGCGCTTGAGGATGAGCCCGCGGCAGAAGGGTCCTCGGCGCCTCATCGTCGAGGCAATCGTGCTTCCACAGAGTCCTTCGACATGCTACCTACCACACCGCCGGAGTCACCATCTGGATCGCCTCCCACATCCCCCATGAGACGTCCAGCGAGTATGATGAAACTTCCTCGAAACACCGTTGATGAAGAAAGCCCGCCGCAATATGAGCCTGTTGCGGGGAGTCAGCTGAACGCTCCCCAAGCTGTGCAACGCCAGCCTTCACGGAATAATCTTCGTCCTATGAACTTGGGTGTTCCTAACCGGAAGCCTGTGCCGCGAAGTTCAAATCCGCGAGGCTAATGGGCTCAACAGGCTGTTTGATTTCCCTAGTTTTGTCATATTCTCTCCTCTTTCACGCTAAGTGGGGTTGAAATTAGTTGGGGCTTCATAGCACTTTGTGCTAGTGATTATTCCAGCACTCATAGCATTGCCCATTAAACGAACTGCATTATTGCTACGTTCGAACTCGATACCCCGTCAATTTTCAGTGATGAAAGGTGTTCTAAATACCTTATTCTTGAAATGCATCATAGGTCTCTGGAGGTGTTAATGTTTAAGGGATCTTTAATTGAACCCATCGGGTGTAGGGGTGTAGTGCCCGTTGAACGCAATACTTTTCTTACATACAGTCTGAAGAATGAGCCCAATTCAATCAAGCCGATATCATTACATCAAGCCAGTATATAAATAGGTTTGTTTACGGGAATATCTCACGCATGGTATACATTTTCACTCATCAATGTACATTATCGGGTAACTAACTATACTGTAGTTAGTTAGAGTAGTCACAGTCTATCTAACATTGTATATTTTCCTAAGCTTCGTCACATTAGAGACGTTGATTTGCAGATTTTAAGCCACTTTATCCTACATACTAGCTACAACTATATAAAAAGACGTCCCAAGACATAAAGATGTTATATCGAAAAGGGAACATTATGTGCGCTAGTCCAAAGACGGCTAGCGTATTCTCCACGCGGATTGAGCTCTGCTTTCTTCTTCCACTTGTGCTCAAGCTCATGTCCAATCCTATGGGCATCTGTCCTCACATTGTATCTTAATCAAACTCTGTTAGACCAACTCGGTTGACCCCGCACCGAAACATTACCGAGTAGTCGACTCGAAACCTCCAACAGCAACACGAAAAAAAGTCCATTCACCGCGTCAATGATTTAGCTCGCGACTGACCATCCACCATGCGTCTCCACCTTGTTATCTCACGGCATGGCCTACCGGTCACGCGCATTCTCTGGACCACGACTTCGTCTACTTCTGCACTAGGCGAGTATGGGGCTCAACGCCCGGCATCAACAGCAGCTGTCGCATCGTCTCGCACCCCGAACATCGCCTTCTCGAATGGCGGGTACACGGTTGCACAACTTCTCGAGGATGTGAATGAAGTCGTGCCGCTGGAAACTGAACCAAGTATCTTTGATGCGGAGTTCAGTGGCCAGTGGGGATTGGAAGATTACGTTGTCGAAGTTGCTGGCTCGGAATGTCTTCATTTTATGGAGGTTGATGGGTTGCTCCGAGATGGAGACGAAGTTGTGTATGTGCATGTAATAATTGTTCTAAGATTGTACACTGAACTAACTTCTCACCTTCTAGTATCCGCGCCCTTCAACTGGCAGATCTCCGGACCAGAAGGCTCTGTGGTCGCCACCAAATTACTGCCGAGGGCAAGCATCTGATCGACGGCGTGCCTTTTGGGTCACCGTTCTTGAAAAGAACTACCTCTACGCGACCTGCAATTACCATACCCCCAAGGAAGAAGCGACGCACGGTTTTCTCTGGCTGGGAGCACGCTCCAGAGTTTGCGGCTGACGAAGTGCATGCCGACGAGGAAGGTGATGGAGAGTGGCTTCCGCCTCCAAACACCGGGTTCGGGAAGGAACTTTCTATTGTGCCCCCCGAGCATGAAGAGTCTATGGCCACGGTTATTCGCCATCCTGTTGACCACACCGCGGGATCTGACAGTGAAGAGGATATGTCTGAGATGCCTGAAATTGAGGAAGATGAATTGGAGAGCGAACTCCAAGCGCTCAAAGAGGACTTTGAAGAGCCTTCTCAATTTGTTGACATCAGAAACCAGACTCGGAATGCCAGTGGGCACCCACTACGTGCTACCTCGATAGTCAAACGACCAACTTCCAAGGGGTCACTTGCAGCTGCCTCGTCTCTTTCCAGCAAGCGGTCTCGCGCAGAAGACTCACCTCCAAGGACCTCCAAGGCTGTGAGATTCAACAAGGGAGATAAGCAGGAGGACGAGGATATGCCTGATCTCCCACAAGTTCCGCAAGTTCCACAGGTGGAGGAAAGTGCTGCTGAAGCTTCCGATTCCGATTCATCCGACTCGTCTGCGTCTTCCTCCGATGGCGATTCTGATGATGATTCTGATGATGATTCTGATGATGAATCTTCGAGCGAGGTGCAGCCTGCGACAGAGGCACCTTCTGATTCTGATTCTGATTCATCCTCAAGCTCCGAAGATTCCGATTCATCAAACTCGGATTCTGAAGAGGAAGCCCCCGCTCCTGTCAAAAAAGTGCAACCAGTTTCTGTGGGCGCT